TAAAATCATGACAAGAAATAACGAGAACTAAACCAGAAAATAATTCAACGTCTAATTACTAGCTGCAGATGTCAGCTGGTGTTCCTGTCCTGCTCTCAGAGGTGTGACAAGGGTATGTGTTTTTCCTAGATGACCTGTTAGGGTGTAGCAGAGCCGTTAGTACATCACTGCAGGACCTCTCTCTCTCTCTCATTTTTTTTTCTCTCCACGTTAAACACAGTCGCAAAGATCACCTTAAGGAATTTGCAGAGCCCAAATGCCCAACCATGTCCTGGTAAGAGTAATTACAGACTGGTTTGTTTTTACCCCCCTCCCACTCATGTACCCCTGCTCCCTCTTCCTCCTCCTCCTCCTCCTCCACCCCTCTCCCTCCATTCATCCGGTGGCCTGCTGCTTCAGAAACATGTTAAAATGCTTTCAGTGTCTTAATTAACAGCCTGCAGAACAGAACACACATTCTTGGCCTGGTTGCAACACAACACATTCCCATTCAGTAGTTATAAACAAATACAGAGGCTGTGTGTTCAATAGGGGGCAGTGGTGAGCTGCTGTGCGCCAGGCACGTCTGTGTTGGGTATGTGTAGAGTTATGTTGATTGGGTGTTGCCTAATGACAGGGATGCTAATTAGTGGGTTATTTATACACCATGTGCAAGAGTGTCTGCAGCATGTCAGTCATGTACAGTGATGTTTGAACGCAGACATACAGACGGTCTGTGTAGACTGCAAAAACTATGAACCTTGTCTTTCCGTCTGCATTGAGTGTGAATGAAGCTCTTTCCAAAGGTCAGTGAGGTCACCAGATATATTTTAATTGTTAAAGAAAAAGTGGCTAACGATGTTACAGTGCTGCTGGTCAGCTTGACCAACCGTAGAGTGGTACCATTTTCAAAAGACTGTTACGCAACATTTACTGATTCATTTGTCAACTACAATTAAAATAATTAATTCTCCCAATTTATGCAGTGGGATGACTCTATGGTATGTGTGTGTGTGTGTGGGTGTGTGTGTGTGTGTGTGTGTGTGTGTGAGAGAGAGAGGAAGGTACTTTGTAGCTTCCTGTCCTGTTAGGTGAGTGGAAGTCATAAAACCAACGAGCTTGTTCAAGTTGCACCTGGATTAGTGTATTTTCACCAACACACCGCCGACACACTTCCTCTCCACCATACAAATAAACACACACAGGTTTTTGTGTTTTGTGCACTCTTCACATAGACATTATCAGGTATTTCCTAGTCCCTTTGTTCTAAAACTTCCTGTGTGTCGCTGGCTGCTGAGTGTAGTGTAAATATTCATACAAAATCATCATAGAAATGAGGTCCTCACCATATCAGAGGAGAATTCTGAGCTCTCGTCTCCTATCTCTACAGCACTGTTCAATTTCTCCGAGGGCAAGATCTATCACCTGATGTTAATTTGTTCCCTTTTGTTTTCAGTTTTACTTTTCTTACGGCAAAATCACCCATTCATTTTTTTTTTCCTGTTTGATTTATGAGCAGTGATGTCTGTCCAACGCTTCATTTTACTATGAAAACACAGTGAAAGAGCCAAAGACGCTCACATTGACTGGCTGTTGGAACTGAAACCACTGTAACACTTGATTTAGTTTTGTTAATTAAATCTATCAACACGTTTCCTCATATTCCTGTCTGTCAATACCTCTGAGTCTTATTATTTGCATATTATATTCATTCATTCTGACACTGTTAATGTGAAGTCATTACAGTTTGTAATATTGAGTTAGAGCAGCCCAAACTACTTACTTAAAAAAACATGTTCAAGTGACTGTTTATCTATGTAAGCTAAGAGACAATGTCGTGACAGACGATGACATGCAGTAAAACACTGGAGGAAATGTAGTTTCAAAACACTAACTACCACCAGGACTGGAAATGTCCTTTCACAATTATTCTCATGTACAGATTAACAACAAATTTTACTAGGTTTATTCCAGGGATGTCCGATATTAACTTTTTGTCGATATCTGATATGCCGATATTGTCCAAACAATTCCGATATCAACCGATACTGATATAGGCCTGGTAATATTTATTTATTTATCTGTACAAACCACTGTATGAGTTGTTGGAATCAGGATTCTGTATACAATTATTAAAATAGATAAAGTAATTAAGCTGCAATGCTGAAATCTAGTAACAATCACTTTACTATACATTAGTTTATCCCCAAAACAATTTTTAGGGCATTGCGTTATTGGGTTTTCATTATCAGAGGGAAAAAAAGGGTAATTTAATGGTTTGTTAACTTTTTGATAGTTAGTAGGAATCGTAGCTTAATGATCTAAAAAGATATTATTCATCTTTCTATATATCAACGAATCTTTGTCAGTGCTGTAGGTCTCTGTCTTTGTGTTGCCCATGCAGCTTCCGCCTCTGTATCTCAGCAGCAGGTCGGAATTATTAGGACTAGGCTATAAATGACTGTCAGAGACCACCTTTGTGGACCACCTGAGAAGATGTTAGTGTTCATGGTCATGGGTCCAGGCCTGTTAGCCTGGTTTACTTAACTTTTCAATTCCAGTTGTGTTTGTTCCCAACCTGTTGTGTACTTTCTGTAGGCCTCTTGTTGGTCTGCACAGCAGCAGCAGCAGCAGCAGCAGCAGCAGTGTTAGTAGTTTAGGTGGAGGTGTTGTGGTGCCTCTTTTCCCTCCGGTTGTTTTCGTGCTCACTGCTCTCCATGGTTGCTCGACAGCACTGTGGGAAGTCTGCATTCTTGTTTAATTACGAGGTGTGAAAGCCTGACAACCAACAGGCTTCGAGGGCCAACATTCAAGCACGAACCCACTCGGCATTATTAGCTGGTAGGAGCGTCCAGCAGCGTGCTGTTAATGGCTGCATAGATATGACCCAGTTCTTGGATCAGGACTAGCACACATGTGCTAGCCATTAGGTATGGAGGCGTAATTACGTGTACAGGCAGATCATCCTATTAGCTTCTTTCTTCCAGCGGCCGCAAGTGTTTCCCTGTTGGACACTTGGTGGCAGTGGTGCTTTGCAGATGCATACAGCTGCAGTGTTTTCACACACACTTGCTCCCGTTTTCTAGGCAGTGGGATGTTTGGCTTTGAATTTGCCACCGCTTCCCTCAGGCACAGGAAGTTGCCTACTGTGGTGTTACTGAGTGAGCAAGTCAACTGGAAAAAGCTTATGTGTGTGTGTGTGTGTGTGTTAGGTAACACAGTGTGTACATTCATCACAGCCTCCAAGACGCTGCTGTTAGTCTCTGACAAATTTCCTCTGTCCTACATTCAGACTCCAGAGATGATGAAGCAGCCTCAGGTCATTTAGGGGAAAGGCATCGGTACTAAATTAAAGAGGGTTCAGCTCAGGCGTAATAATACAGCACTTATGAACGCGTTTGAAATGTATCTGCGGGCTGCCATATATTATGGCCTAATACAGTGAACGCAGTGTGAGAAATGTACAGTCATATATCAGCCAGTCTGGTCGGAAGAATAGATGTATGAGTCAGCTACATACTGAGACTATTCACACGATATGTTCCCCCCAGAGAGCTGTGATTAATTTGAATGTCTCTCTCTCTCTCTCTCTCTCTGTTTCTCTGTCTCTCTCCCAGACACAGATCCTCGGGTTCTGGAAAAGCAAGAGCAACAGCAGCCCACTTATCTGGCCCTAAGCTACATAAACAGGTAACTCAATCAAAAACTTTCCACTACCGTCTGTAGAGGGCAGCATTGCTCTGCAAGTGGAAGGCTGTGCAGCTCATGTGGCTTGTGGGAAACATATTGATGTCTTCCCATACACTGGGCTGTGACTCATCCACAACACCAGTGCAGGGGAAACCGCAGGAGACAATCACAACCCTGACTCCATGCACTGGCAGCAGCACAACTGTGTTAGTGTGTGGTGAACCGACGTGTCACTTCCCACTTAATGTCCCATTAAATCACTCCGGCGCACAGCACGGAGAAAGATAGGCGTTGAAACAGACAGACAGAAAAAAGAGAGTGAGGTTTGTTCTGTGCGGTAATCGTTGAAAGCGGCGAGGCCGTAAATGTCATTTGTTCACTGTACAGTGCTGTGATGACTGTATACTTAAAGGGGCAGTTCATTCAGCTCCTAAGTATGTCCTGTTAAAAGTCAGACTGCTGTCTGAGCAGCAGCATGGCCATAATTAGATAAACCTCCAGGGCTCCTTTAACAGTGGACAAATAACACGTTAGACGTCAAAGCAGCTATAAGTAATATTGCTGAAAAATATTTAAGGCCTTCACACAATGTGATATTTTCTGTCTATTGCAAGAACAGACAAAACCAATGCACCAGTCTACACTAGTGCACCTAAACCCCTGGCTTGGGGGCCACTTTCGGCCCGCAATTTGCTCACATTTGGACAGCGTCGAGATGACAATAATAACGTTGCCCTTGAATTTGTTTTTCTTAATTATTACAAAGTTGTTTGCACATTATTACTACACGGTATTTGTGTTCAACGTCGTGTCTCTTTCCTGTCTTCAGGTTCATGACAGATGCGGCTCGCAGAGAACAGGAGACCATGAAAAAGAAAGCCACTCCCAAACTGTCGCTGTCCATCACGGGCGGAGTCTCCAGGAACAGTACGGCCACTCCTCCCCGCCATACTAGCGGTAACCTGACGCCTCCTGTCACGCCCCCCATCACTCCATCCTCCTCATTCCGCAGCAGCACACCTACAGGTACGAGCAGTGCCGTGTGTTGGAGAGGTGGAAGGATAGATGTGTGTGTGGAGTGAGTGACGTGTGCAACTCAACTGCATTTTTCATCTTATCTGTTATTGTGTTATTGTAAATAAAAGTATAAATAAGTATTAACACATATGATGCAAATGTTGATTAACGGTGTCATGCTATCAGCCAGACCAACATTAAAATACAGCGGTACCCTGTTCAGCTAAGCAAAGAACATGAAGAAGAACAATAGCGCCCCCCTTGGCAGCCTGTAAAGTCTTTCTTTATTTTTAAAAATGTCTCTTCATTTATTATTAAAAAAACATATTTATCTATATTACCACTCTCAGTACCACACATCCACGCGTTCTATTTTGAGAACCACTGGTTTTGAGAACTATGAATCACAATTGTCAGTGGACACAGTGATGATGAAACTCAGTACTGAGGCTCGAACAAATGGAGATTTTGCAACTTGAGGACTTTCTAAGTGCCAAAAGTCAACAGAACCATGGCACGCACTCAACATGGCTGCCATTCAAGGCACAAGACAATAAATCCTTGTGTAAATATTTTTTACCACATAACAAATAAAGTGCAGCTTCTAATATTTATCTTCTTAGGTTTAACATTTTTATTGGAGTTTTATTCTGATATTCTAACTAAGTGAGGAAGCAGTGGAGCAAACATTCTGTCATGAAAAAAATAATTTGTCAATGAATCTTTGGGCAACGGGCGAAACAGTTTCCAAAGTCACTCATCATTCAGTTTGCTGTTATGAAGTGCTGTCCAGTGGACAGATCCCCCAGCATTGATACAGCGCTCACGAACAAATCCAGTTCTCTGTAAGTCCGATGTAATGGTGCCCATTTCGTCACTGATTACTGAGCAGGAAAATTAAAAACACAAGTTCAGCAGAGCTGCCAAGAGTCAGCTCAGCTCTCAGCCAATAACACGACCTGCAAATAGAACCCCCAGATGAATCACGTTTAATCATTAAGAGCCATTCAGTAATGGGTTGGAAATGTTTGGGATGCTTCATGCCAGCTTTTCCTCAAACTTTAAAACCCACAGTGACTCACGATGATTGGAAAAGGCTGACGGCCCGACAGCCGCTGCACGTACCGTACTGTATGTTTGTGTGTTGTTTGTGTGTTGACTGGTGACTCCTGCAGTGAGCAGAGCACTCAACACTCTGCTAATTACATAGCAGCTGTCATACTCTGTGTGTGTGTGTGTGTGTGTGTGTTTGTGTGTGTGTGTGTGTGTGTGTGTGCACGGGGCTGTGTGTTGCACAGCCCAGGAGCAGATGTCCAAATGCGGCCCAAATGGCTCCAAACCTGGTGTTAGGTCTGTGGCTATACTGCAGCAGCAACACACACACACACACACACACACACACACACACACACACACTCCTAAACACACATGCCTTTGCAACATGTGCCGGGGTGCCATCCATTTCCTCATGCTGAGGGGCAGCGTTTCCTGTAAGATGGTGGGGGGTCAGTGGGACTTTATGTGTGCATGTGTGTTTGTAATGTGGGTGTGTGTGTGTGTGTGTGTGAGTTTGATGTATCGGGGATCGCTCATACTTTACGATCACTTCCTGGTGCCAATACCCATGTTGTGACACTGTGGCCCACGAATGCATCAGTGCAGAGACAGAACACAGAGAGAGAGCTGTTAATAAAGAAGAGCACATCCTCTCTCTCTGATTAACCTCCGTGGCCGCCTGTGTCCAACTCTGTCTATATTCCAGCCGCGCTGACGACAGTTTGTGTTGTATGTGTCTCCGTTGTGCCCCCAGGCAGCGAGTATGATGAGGAGGAGGTAGACTACGAGGAGTCAGACAGCGACGAGTCGTGGACCACAGAAAGCGCCATCAGCTCTGAGTCTATCCTCAGCTCCATGTGCATGAACGGAGGAGAGGAGAAGCCGTTCGCCTGCCCCGTCCCCGGCTGTAAGAAGAGATACAAGGTAGGATTTTTCTCCTTGGACGAGTACAGCATCACTGCCTGTGCTTTAGCTCCAAGTGTTCACAACCACAGTCACAGATCGTATGTACAAAATGGACATCCAGTACTGAAAGTAAACCATCGGGAATTGACTTCTGCCGTTGAACGGAAGACAGTGGTAAAATAAGGCTGGTTGTCAGTGAATATAAGGTTTGGGATCCCCTGACCTGACATAATAACCTCAGTCAACATTTTCCTGAAGTGGTTTGTGGTCTCCGTCGCCTGTTACCACGTCTTCATACACACTATTTTGAAATATGATTCTGAGTTAGAGGAAAGGAACTTTGTGAAGTGTACCCTGTGTGTGTGTGTGTGACCGCCGGGCCGTCCAGAAGAGGCATGGTTACCGGCGAAATGCCAAAAAAAAAATGGACAAATCACATATCTCAGGACGTTTTACAACCAGATGGCCACCTCCATTTCTTATAAACGGTTTGTAGCCACGCAGCGGGCTAGTTGTGCTGTAGCAGCAGCAGCAGCAGCAGTCGTACAGTGCAGCTGCTGTCTGGGTATCACATGCCTGGACCTAATGTTTGGAAACGGACATTATAAATCCAGGATGTCATGACTGAAAGCTTTGATAAACATCATAAATGCTTGATGGTATTTGCTTCGGTTGAGCTGGATTATAGATGCTCACCATAAACCTCTTCTAGCCTGTCATTCCTGGTCTTCAGCTAATTGACAGTGTGGGAATGACTTTTTTCATGTTATTTTAAACCAAAACAGTGACGTGTGAGGAAGCCACATTTGGTGTGGATTGAAGCTTTCCCATCCTCCTCTCCCTGGTTTTCACACAGCTCTTTGTATCTACAGCAGACTTCGTTTCTGTCGTGCGCCATACGTTCTCCAGGGGAGCTCTAATGTGCGAATGCAAATGTCCGCCGTCATACTGGAGATTCTTCAGCTAGTTTTCAGGCTGATGTCTAATGAGATCTTGTGAGAACACAGCAGACGGGGCTCTGGAGGACTGTGGGCAGCTTCCTGCTTCGGAGATTCCCCGTCTGTTCCCAGACACTGCGTTCGTCCGGAGTGTCAATGATATATTTTTAGAGAATGTCCAAAACAACACTACCTAAATGGTCATGTAAACTTTTGTCAACTGCTTTGGACATCCACACATAGAGCGCATAGTGGTTTTGGAAAAGCAGAATGGAGCAAAGAGCTCCACTCTGTGGAGCTGTACACCTCCAACAGCAGTTCAGCAAAAAACAAAAATAACCAAGAAGTGCGGGCTAAACCTAGAAGACTTAGTCTCTTCCAGACTGAGCTAATCCAGCCATGCTAACCTCCACGACAACAATACTTGTCCCTTTAGTTTGGACAGAAGCTCTGCTTTCTTTGCGCAAAAATATTTTTTGTAAATATAAATAAAATATTTGTGAGTTGAAAAATAAAACCTGTAACCCATTTAAATTAAAACTTTTTTGTTGGATCCTATTTTTTTTTTCCTATCATCGTGTACTTGAACCACTACATTACTCCAACACAGCCACAGATTGTTTTCGTCGCTGCTGTTTCTACAGTAGTTGATGGTTTTACCTAATGCACATGAATTACAGTCTGATGTGTTTTGGCCCATTTTAAACAGCAGTGTCACACTCACAGTGTTGACTGATGCGTTGAGTGCAACAGAGCCTCACATTCATGTATCCTGTAATGAATGAGTCGTGTCAGGAGATCATTCCACGCACACTCGACCGTTTCACCACTCGGGTCTGCAGCAGACAGGAAGTCACCATAGAGTTAATTTGGACGGTTTAGCCTCAGGGTCTAGACTAGACTTCGCTAGTCACCCTGATCACCGGCTCTTCCTCCGCCTCCCTTTTGTGTGAATGTAGAACTTTTTGTAGAACAGTTTAGTTTTTTCTTTAGGTGTAAATACTATCTGATACCATCTGTAATTAAACAGAAAAAAAATAAAATGTCCTCTTGTGTTTAAAATGTCTTCATCCTCATCTCCTCAGAATGTCAACGGCATCAAGTACCACGCCAAAAACGGCCACCGCACACAGATCCGCGTGAGGAAGCCCTTCAAGTGCCGCTGCGGCAAGAGCTACAAGACCTCACAGGGCCTGAGACACCACACCATCAACTTCCACCCGCCCGTGTCCACCGAAATCCTGCGTAAGATTCAAGGCTGAAGTGTGCGGCCGGTGACACTAATCGTCTACCCCAAACATCAGCCCTGTCCCACCGTCGGTTCGCGACCCAGCCTTTTATCACAGCCATCACACACACTACGTGATCAAGTGCATGCTTTAAATTTCCTACATATTGTTTCAGTGCATCGTTTTATAGCTTTGTGTTACATACTTTTCTTTTTTTTCATTCCTATGTTATATCACTAGTATTTTTGGAAAGAAAAAAGTATCTTTGTAGTATTTTTTATCATGTACATTTGCACATTCGTATATGCTATCACGTTAAATATTTTTTTATTTCTTATTATTTGACTCACATAAGGTGCTAACTGTAAAACAAAACAAGAACGAAAAAGACAAAAAACAAAGGAAAGAAAATAGGAAGAAAGGTGAAAGAGGAAACAGAGTCGGGCCGTGCTTCGCTCCCGCTCCATGTCACAGCTGATCCCAGGTCAGATCAGGTCAGAATCAGCTCTTTGATGGGACCTTTGGGGCGTGGTGACGTGCTAGGATGCAGTTATACTTAAAAAAAAAAGATATATTGATATATAAACAATAGACAGATATGTATGTGTATATAAAATATATGAAAGTATTCATGAGCATACACCTAGTTACACTTTATTTTGAAGCTTTATTTTGCATATATATGTCAGTGTTTTAGGACAAGTTTTTTTTTGTTTGTTTGTTTTTGTTTTGTCTCTGTAACGTTTCTCATATTCCTCAGCTGATGAGTTTGGTCGCCTCAGAAGACAAGGTCATGTGACTGGCTGCTTTTAAGTTCACAATCAAAATGTCTCTCGCTACACCCAAGGAGTGTGAGGCGCTCTGTGAATGCTGTATTAATTATCTATTCCATTCCATTCCCACAGAGAGACGTTCGTGTTTCACATACTCTCTCTCTCTCTCTCTCTCTCTCACGTGTACCGTGTCCTCATTTAGACCTGTGCCAGAGCTGTGAAAGCAGGTTCAGCATCATACTCCACTCCAGTTGCCAAGATCTTTTTTTTTGTTGTTGTCATATCTCTTGATCATTGCCAACAGCGCTCCACTGCCAAATGTTGATCATACCATGTGCCTGAAGAAGAGAGCAGGGAGGCTCTGGCCCGGCCGGGGGTTCTGGGAGATGATTTGTAATATATTCAAAAAGGAGGTGGTTAGCATGTAGCAATGGTCTCTGAGAGCAGTGCTTCTTAAATGACCAAACTGTGGGAGATGAGATTTATGTGAGCGACTCAACATCAACAAGCATGACACGCCCATTTGCATAGCGTCACAACCAAAACTTGACATGATGAAATTCACAATAATGATTTTGAAAAAAATATGAAACATTAAATCTTGAAAGTAGATAGAGCTTCCTGTTGATAGATGACTTGACCGTTCTTGGATGGATGATGCACTGACATCATCAGTCCTGATTGGTCAACCCGTGCAGTGACATTGAGAGACAACACCATATTACTTATTATTATCTGCAGATGACCTGCGGTGAAACAGGAAGTCCCCAGTCATTGCGTTGGACCTAACCAAGTATCCTCTGTCCCACTTCTGGGTGACGACCCACCGTTTGAGAAGCACTGCTCCCGATCATTGCACCTCCTCATTACAGATGGGTGGATGTATTTTTGACAGAATGTCGTGCATGCTTTCAGTGTTGTCATGTGAGAAACAGTGTTTGAGAGAAGAGGGTGGTGTGTCTGTGTGAGTGAGGGTGTGTGTGGGTGTACGATTACCATCTGCAGAGCTGTGTGTGTTGTACACAATGGCATTCCACTTCAATTTATGAATGCATTCTGAATTAGTCTGTATATGTATAAATGTGTGTGTGTGTGTGTGTGAGAGCATCAGCCTCTTCAATGTTACTGTTGTTAGTGTTTCGTCGTCAGTGCCAGGCTGCTGGTTCACCTCCTGTGGAGCAGGAGGGCTGTGTTACTGGCTGGACAGCTGATGGTGCTGCATCATGTAGTCTTCGTCCTGAGTGGTGTCTGTACGTGGGACGCATCTTGGCACAAATGTGGAGTGAAAAAAAAGGGTGTGGACCTGTAGAGGGCTGACGATTAGGCCGGTAACCTAGCAACCAAGGAGTCTGGGTTTCACCATAGCATTTGTGCAGGTTCTCGCTCATCTGTCGATTGAGTTAAAAAATACATGAATCGTAATCAAACTGGTGTCCATATATGACCCTCACGACCCCACTCTGGCCACATGTGGCCCAGATGCGTCCCAAACTGACATGCCCACCGGGATGTTTTTCATTCATTGCCTTTAGAAAAACAAATGGTGCAGTGGTGTGTGCCAAGACCCACCTGTGACGTGGTTTCCTCTGTCACACAGACAGTTCTGAGTCCGTGGCTCAGAGAACTAGTTTTTGTCATCATTTCCTGGGTTTAGTGACCTCTGGTTAGCACACAGCCTCTCGTCCTCCCAGCAGCGTTCACCACCGGAGCAAATGATTATTTTTCTGTTATTTTTTTTTTACGGCAGCGTTTACAACATTCCTCTGCTTTAAGGTGCATTTCCGGGCATTGACTCCTTAAAAAAAAAAAAAGCACAAACACTGCCTGAAAGACATCATGTCTACAATGCAGCATCGCAACGTTGACTGACAGCTTGGCAGTCGGGAGTGAAAGTAACCTGGAGATAATGGTTCGCACGTGACGGAAAACACCTGATTGCTGCCTGTCAGGGACGTTAGCCAGAAGGATGGCGTCTGAGAGTCGGCGTCGAGCTACACTCGTAAAAGCGCCTCGGCTTCTTGGTCGTCATGGCAATAGCTTCACCTCAGCAGAAGGCCCGTATAAAGGGGGGGGGGGCTGTGTGCTGGAGGAGGGGCTTCACTAAACTGTGTACAGTGAATGTATCGTACCGTTAGTCTGTTGTCAAGTGCTTTTAAATTATATTTTCTTATGTAACGTGGAGACCAAGGGTTCCTTTTTGTATCCTGAAGACAGCAGGTTGTGAACAGAGTGTAAAAAAAAAACTGTCAAACTGTCTTTATATATAAAAGAGAAGCTGCTTATTTGTAAACAGGAAAAAACTGCAAAATAAAAAAATAAATAGCTAGTCCTTTTATTTTTATCTCACTTCGTACTGTATTGAGTGTAGTTGAAGGAAGTTGCACCTTTTTGTTATATTACCGTAAAATTTCAACCTTTTCTTAGTGAGATATTACAATTATTTTAACATTGGCCAACTTAAGGTGAATTTTGGTAAATTTATTGAAAAATAACTTGTTATTTTTCAATAAAGTCTTTAAATTTCATGTCTTTTTTAACTGTAAGTCGCAGTTTGTTTGTTTTTTCAACTTTTTACTGATTTGCTACTTAAACTCAGGTGTGACTGATGTTTGTTATTTTTTCTAAATCAAATATGGAAAGAAAACTTATTATGAAGTAGGAAACATTTTAAGACTGTAAATTTAGGTTAATTTATTTAATTAACAGTTTAAAAATACTGATGTAAACATATTGAACATTTCAGTGTCGACAGTGGCATAAGACAAGTCAATATTTAAGTCAGTCAAATGTTTTGAGACAAGCTTCTTTTATTCATTTCTGCAATTCATACCTTCCAGACATTCTCACATGAGAAAACACACACACACACAGACACACACTTTTGTCTTGTCATTACTGGGGGCATGTGCAATTTTTAAAGCCTGACTCAAACACTGAGGGTTTTACTCTGTAATGACAGAAGAATAGCACAGAGCGAGCGGTGAGGGATGACACCCTGATGGAGACACACACACGCGACACACATTCAGTCATGGAGCAGCGCACAAATGACTTTTCACAGTTGTAGCTCTGACATGTGGAAGTACAGCAAAAGTGTCGCTCAGCATTCCGACAGTTGCATTTTTTTTCTCAACCCAGCTTTACTGGAACCTAAAAGTGCAGAAAACCCCTTTCAACATGTCCATGTGGGCCACAGCGTCAATATGTAGTCCATTTACACTCCGATCTTTATGTTTTACACCTTTGCCAACTCGAACAATCTTTAGATTTTCACGAAAAAATGAAACTGTTACCCTCTAATACAATTGGGAAACTCTGAGCTTTCTGGGCTCCAAGCTAACAACATATTAGCCCCAGCTGTGTTAGGTTCCTGTCCTATGACACAGAACAGCATGTGCAACATAATCAGCAGCAAAAATGGGCCCTGACCGACCAGAGCATCACTGAAGGGTGGGAAATATCACTTTAAGTTCACTTAGGGAGTACAGACAGACCTGGAACAGGTTACAGATCGTCTTCACATTCTTTATATTTTGGGATTAGAGGCTAATGGTGCAATACAGAAGCTAATTCTAATTTTAACGTTCAATTTTAAACCCAGCTTAACTTTACATTTACATTTGGAAAAACACATGGTTACACGTCCCCTAAAAGAACATCTTGGCATCTTGGCAGCGTCAGGCTGTTAATATTGCTGTTGTACACTTCTGTTAGTACACATGGACAGCACACACGTGGCCCACATGGACATGTTCATTACATTCATAATAAAGCCTTATTTAGTGCAGATACATGGAAACATAGTGCTGTGTCTGACACCATCATACTCTCAGGTCCTCATAAAATAATTATAACAATAATAATATTAATAATAATAATAATAAAAACTCTTCTACCCTCTGCTTCAAGCTCACACTGTATATACTGACTTTAGTGATTCTTTAAAACATAAATCATTTTCATACCTCCGTCTGAATTTACACAACAATTCATTTTCTTATCTTTTCCAAAATATAAAAGAATGAAGTACTTTCTCAGCTTTACTCCAGATACTCCTACTCTCTGAACGTCTGCAAAGACACAGTTAAAGCGTAAAGTAAAAATGCAAATAAAAATCATTTTTTAAAAAGGAGAAACAATCACATCACATTTTTTTTTATATTATTGTCCTTCTGTTTCTCCCCACTGTTTTGTGACCAAGAGAAACACAATACATAAACTCGGCGGTGAAAAAGCGTCACGTGAACGACTTACCGACTTGACATTCTTTTCGATTTGAAAACCATAAAGTGCTAAAATGATTGTATATCAACAAGACAACTGAATTGGAACTTAACTCTTCGTTAATGTCATATATTTACCCACAATTCATGTCAATAATCCGACGCCCGCTGGGCCTTCACTCGATCTGATCGAAGTTGAGCACGTGGCCGTCAAAGTGCGTGAGGACGTGCCTCTCGAAGAGCTGCTGCTGACAGTTGAGGGGGAACTGCTCGGAGCAGACGGGGCAGATCTTCCAGTGACTCTCCACGTGCTGCTCGAAGCTGCGCTGCTCGAAGTGCGGAGGAAATATAACTTCGCACAGAGGGCAGCGCTTGTGGATGTCGTTACTGAGGAGGAAAAGTCAGGAGTAGTTGGTTCAATGAAAAAAATCTAAACTTTTAGCTGGAGTAAAAATACTGATCAGTTCCAGGAACTCTCAGCAGATTGCTGCAACATTGAACAGTGCACCTAGTACTGAAAGACCAGAGGACAACTTTAGTAAACCGTCTACAAAGCGGACCATGATGGAGTGCACTAATCGAGGAAGTGATGAAAGTTACAAAATGTAAAATTACATTACGATTTAAATGTTTTTTAAATGTGAGTTTCTTCAATTCCTGCGAGAAAATCACAGAAATGTTCAACTAAACCGCTGAGGTTTAATACTGAGTGGGTAAACTCTCTGGAAGATCATGATACTTCATAACATATATTTTTTGTGTCTTTTGGTTTGGTGGTGAGTCGTGGGATGTTTCTCATACAAAATATGTGGCTCAAAAAAAGGTTGACAAACACTGTTTTACCTGGAGTCAAAGCAGAAGCTGCTTCTGGCGTCAGTACGACTGGACTGATGATCGCACGCTGACCGAGCTCCATCTGCCACCTAGTGTACACATAACACAGACATTCAGCCTGATAAGGTAAATGTGTCGACACTGATGATCTCCCCCTAGACCATTATTTTGTATAATTTTCAGACCGTTCCCAAACTGATTACTCGCCACTGGATCTTGTTATCTAAGTCTTTGTTCAAATCTGAAGGAGTGACATTAATTAGAGCTTTATGTAAATGTGATCTTTTAAAGGCGGGGAGAGAGGGGGAGAGAGAGAGAGAGAGAGAGATGTCAATGTTGCCAGGCAATGATACATAGAGGAGACAGAACAGAAGAAAGTTTCCAGTCCTGCGTTTGTCCTTACATTTTGAGATTTATGTAACGATATGTGAACAGGAGAGAACTGTACTTTGGAGTTTGAGACCCGGCCCTTTTTTCTTGCTTCAGGTAATCCTAATGCATTTCCAGCTACAACCGTCTGCCTTCAGCACCAGCCTGTGTTTTACTCTGCTGTGTATTTAAAGGTAATTACAGTTCTGGGATCCTCTGCTGAATGCTCCAGGTTCTCGGGGGGAGTGGAGCTGCGAGCCGGCTGGATACAGACCACCTCCTGGTCCCAGCCAGGTGAAGCGGGTTCAGGGCTCCGTGGTGTGATGGGGGGCGCGCAGGGGGGAGCGCTGGGTGCAGTCTCTGCCGGAGAAAGGGACGTGTCCTCAGGAGACTGAGCAAAATCCAAGTGGTCTAAAGACAGAAAAGTAACAGCCACACAGAACATAATAATCGTGCTTTTCCAAGACTCTACCACTGGTATCTGAGCAAAATTAATATTTATCAGATTAATCAGACCATCCTTGTATCACTAAAGGGAGCACAAGTACCACCAGTGGCCAGTGTACCATAGTTTGAGCCCCACCGACCTAGGCCCTGTGCAGAACAACGAAAAGCAAAAATGAAACACTGTGACAGCCCCACCTCTTGTTGTGTCAGTGGAGTAGGGATTCCCAAACTGCAGCTCAGCAGGCTGCTGTGGCACCAGTGGTGGAGGGGAGGGGTCCTGGGGATAGGGTAGCGGGTAACGCATCACCATTGGCTGTTTGACTTCGGCGGCCTCCTGCTCCCTCTGTCTGCAGACGTAACGCCGCAGCTCCTGCGATAGATGAAAGACTGATGCATTTAGTCCTGACGTATCACCATGAAGTATTATCATGATGTATTATCTATACCTTTCAATTATATATTCTGTCTTTTCTGCAGTTTTAGTAAGTGCACACTTTCATTGTCAGGACCGCACGGAGACAAAGTGTCTCGGCTCAGGAGTTAAATTTCCCTCGACACCGTTCCTGCCCTTTGTGATTATATCTGAAGCAGCAGCATTAGTACCCTACTCATTACTGTAATGGGTGTCAGACTCTGGCTTCCTCTGCTTCTACTCCGCTGATGGAGGTTCGCCCTCAACCTCTCCTCTCCACCCCTTCCCTCGCTCCTTTCCCTCCACTATTTCATCCCGCCTCCTTCCTTGATGACTTCATTAGCGCGCTGCTATCGGGTTTAACATTTAAACCAGGGTTAGAGAGGTGAAACAGACACGCCGCGTGGCATTTGCACTGTCTAATGGCACTGTATCAGTGGCTGAAAAAAGGCAAGAATAGATGTTTTAATTAGAGGGCGGTGAGAGAGAGGGGAGCTCACACACTGCCCCTCAGATGTGGTGGAGACGAAGAGAAAGTTGGCATTTTTCTACAGGAAGTCTGCGACTTCTATAGAACTGTTGGCAAACCCCAATTATAAAGTTTACATACTGCAAACCAGTTTGCAAAATACAATTGTTATAAACTAGATGTGACTATTTGCCATTAAACATGGAATTACAATAATTATAATAGTATTAAAAATTCACCACAAATAATTTACTGATAATTGAAAAGAACCAAAATCGACTGTTTTTTCAATTTCATTTTTGTCCTGTTTCTGAGGGGTTTACTTTAATTTATTATTGGCTGCATGGTTAACTCTAATTGTTAAACATGCTGACTCATTAAATATGAATGAATGTATACTGTATACTCAAGTGCCAATCCTTACCTCCTGCAGCTGCTCTTTGTCTCTTAGAGCCTGAGCAAGGTCACGTTTCAGCTCCGTCACCTCGTTGGCTCTCTCCGCCATCTGCACCTGAACAGGAAAACAATAAATCAGTGATCATCGTTCATCATTCGGCCCGCCGAACCGTCCAACCCGGCCTGCGTCTGGATTTCAAAATTATGAGGATCAAAGAAAAAATTTTCACGTGTTCGCCACGAAGCAACAAAAAAAAACTAAAGAGATTTAAAGACACTATTTATGACTGTAATTACATTCCAATAGATAAAATATGATTCACATCAAAGCGAACATCACATCAATGCCAAGAATCAAAATTACTTCATGAAGACATTAGAGTAACCAAGTATTAATTTCATGTCTCATTCAAACCAACAATATATATATATATATATATATATATATAGTTAAAGGGAATTATGCGTTACTCTGCCACTTCCTTTCTGATGCCAGTAAACAACATCGATGATGTGAGTTTATCAGAGTTCAGTCAGGAGTGTGAGGATGAGTGTGAGAGAGCCCAGGCCAGAGGACGACAGTGTGTCTGGGCCACATTGGAGCTTGTAGTAAATATCTTCCTTTCCCACTGCTCCGACCCTGTGGGATAGTTTATATGACTGGTTGCCTGCTCTTCCCCTATTTCATCCCATTACAAAGGAGCAGCTCCCTCTCCTCCTGCCGTTTCTCTCTCTGCTTCATGTCTGTCTGTCTAAGCTGCTTTCTTCACTCTTAAATTCTGCGAGCTTCCTTCGCTCCCCCCGCCGCCTCGTTCCCTTTCATCTCCTTTTGTCCTCCCTCGCTCGCCCCGCCTGTCGTAAATTTACTGCGCTGCATTAGCAGGTTAAGTTCAGGTGAAAGGAGTCAGCCACAGTGAATTTCTCAGCCTCACTCCTCTCCCCTGCCCTCCCTCCCTCCCTCATCTTGTCCTCTCTCCCTCGCTCTATTTTCTGGGTGGCTGATGTAAACAGCTGTAAAGCATGGCGTTCTGCAAATGCCCATCGTCAGTCTCCGGGGGCCATTAAGAGCGGCTGAAGGCCCACGGCACTCGCCTCAGACGAGAGACTCTATCGAAGACAGGGGAGGGTCTTATTTACGGCGCCAATAAACACACTTACTCATGGAGATTAAATGCCAGTAGGTACTTTGGCAGACATTCACACGCAACAGCAGCAGGCTCTCATCCAGGCTGCAGCCTCGGGACTGGTACTGGGCTGGAAATGTACCACACACACTGGCCTAGAGTAGCATAGATGCTGCTCAAACCCCATTATTATGACATATCCAGATATTGTCAAACACTTCACCTCGCTCAGGGCTCAGTGTTAGACGCAGACCCCAGACGACCTTTTGCCTTTAAACAGTCAATCAATTCTCTTACTCTGAATCGCTCCTCCTCATTGGCCAGCCGCTGCTTGAGCGTCTCGTTGATAGCGCACTGCTCCTTCCACTTCTCCTCCATCATTGCCAGCTCCTCCTCCACGGAGCGCGTTTGCTCTTCTTCCTCCGCCTCCACTGTGGTCCTCCCCTCCATCTCCAGCAGCATCTGTGCCTCCACATCTTCGCTCACCTCCGTTACCTGTGGTTCTATTTCCACCTCAGGACTCTCGCCGTCGTTCTCCACCTCCACCCAGCTTGTCAACTTCAGGCTCTCCTCTTGAGGTCTCTCGTCCTTCTTCTCCTCGTCGTCTTTCTCCTTCATATTATTCTCCTCCTTCTGGTTGTCCTCCACCTCAGGCTCAGCCTCTGCCTCACTTACATTCTGCGTCAGTTTCTCCACTGTTCCAGGTTGGTCAGTGTTCACAGGTTCACTGTACAGGAGCTCAGCTGTGGTAGTCATTTCGACGGCTTCTTGTAGAATAGCACAGGCGATGTTCCCTAAAAAACACAAATACCATGTGAAAATCCTGATCACAGAATAAATTCACATGTTTGTTTTTAATATATTTATACCCTCTGTTGGGGATTCTGGACTAGAGGTCAGTGGTTCTTGTGTGGTCTCCGTGGAGACATTTCTTTTTGGCTCCTGCAAAAAAAAAAAAATTCTGATGTAAAAAAAACATAATTCCCGGTTTATTTCCCATCAGGCCTGTTGTGTCACCCTCCCTTTACTCACCCCCTGTGACTCAGTTGTGTTCAGTTTGGCCACCTGCCTGCGGAGGCGCTGACACTCCCTGTATTTCTCCTTGTAGTGTTCAGCAGCCATGTGGAGACGCAGCTTAAGCTCCTCCACCTCCCTCTGCAGCTCGGCTTCAGTCTCTGACACCACCATCACACTGGCGTTCACCTCGCCACTGGTCCCCACACCCTGGAGACGAGAAACACAGCAAACACCAAAGATTTCTCCTCTGTGTATTTGCACCTTTAGAACACATAATATTGGGTAAGTATACATGTAGAAATATTTTAGTCTACCATTGAATATATTCATCCTTTTTTTCTTAGTTGACATTTAGACCAGGGTACTCAAACGCCTGGACTGGGTCCCACTTCCTGCCATCGAACCCACTAGATCCATCCCCTGACTAAACGTGGATAATGACATGATTTTTTAATAACCAAAAACACTTTCAGATGAAAGTGAACAATGCTTTTTTTGTACCGATGGTCCAAAAATAATATGAATTGAAACATCAAACTTTTCTCTAATACTGACCACGTCTTTCTGTGCCATGGACCTCATGCGGTCTAACTGGTCCTCCACTCGTTGGCACTCAGCCTGAGCATCGGCAAGGCTGGCACGGAGCTTGTCAGCCTCCAACCGTGCGCGGTACAGCTCAGTCATGGTGTGGTCGCGGGAGCTGGCGGAGTCACGGAGTTCTGAGGCCAGCAGCGAGGCCTGCTGCCGGGACGCCTGCAGCTGTTCCTCAGCCTGACGGAGCTGCTCACGTACACGGGCCAGCTCCGCCTACAGACACATTAACATATAAATGACAAATGAACATGTGACTTTCCTTGGACTGTGGGCATCATTATGAACCAGAGTCATCACCTTGTCAGTCTTGTGAGCCAGCAGCTCTTTCTCCAGGCTGTCTCTCTGGGACACACAGGCTCTGAGCCGGTCCAGCTCCTCCTGGAACTGTGCGATGGTCACCTCCCGGTTCAACTCCACCGCTTTCAACATCTGGAGCTCTGCGCTTAGCTTAGTGTTCTCCAGTTCTGTGCTGCGCAGGTGAGCCTGACCGTGACGCAGGACAGAGAAAAAAAGAAATAACGAAAATACAAACAGATTAGGGTTGTTTGTTTATGAAATATATTTTTCTTCATATTAGCTTTGAATGAATGATCACCTTGTACAGATCCCTCTCATCCTTCTCATTCTTAAGCTGGTTCTCCAGACTGTCTCTCTCTGCTGTCAGCTTCTTCAGACGGTCACGCAGACTACAACAGGACAGAATAGGAAATGAAGTCATTGGTAGGAAATGCCTAAAAAGGAGAATTCAGGAGGACGTAGTAATGATTAACCACACACAGATGACATTAATATCCCAGACGGCTGAAGCCTGTGCTTACGTTTGACTAAACATTGTGTTTGTACCAATTGCAAGCACATTTTCAAATGTATGGAACATAAACAGAAGAGCTTTTTGTTTTATTTTGTGTGAAATAACCCAGCAGTTGTTTATCGCGTGATATATTTGCATCATAAGAAATGAAACGGTTGAGCTGTGCTGAGCATTTACTACGTCTAAGTTGTTATTTGACTTGTTTCCGTCTGCCTATTTTGCATGTCGACGAGTGGAATGACAAACATGTTGCGGAAGCAGGAGACAAACAGTCATTTCACTGTCATGTCATCGCAGAAATGGATGATTGACGCTCACTTGCGAACATCAAGCACTCACCAATCGAGCTCCGTTTCCTTTTGCAGGCCTCTCTGAGTGACTCCCAGCAGGTCCTCCTCCAGCTGACGGACGCGGTCTGTGGCCTCCGTCAGCCTTTTCCTCACCTCCTCCCTCTCCTCTGATAGCCCCTGTGAGGAGCGCAGCAGATCCTGAGGGCAGAAAGGCAGATGTGTGTCATTACAGTACATGACAGGTGCTGCAGCCAATCGAGTTTGTTTGCTTCCTGTTCTCTTTTAAATGATGTTCCAAGTTACTGCTGCTGAATCACATATTTGTCGCAGGGGCCTGGACAGATACTTTGTGGGCAGGACACTCAAATCATCAATACATTTTAGGTCATACGTGATACTCTTTGACAGATGGTGAGGTATTGATGCTATTAATTCAGCAGCTGTAATGAATTGTTATCGGATATTGGACGATACGCAGCGCCCTGCTATCGGTTTCGGTACGGGGACTGAAAAAGTCGGTGCATGTTTAAAAATGATGTACAAGGGCTCAATTTTTTCCGGGAGCTGAAACCAGAAATTAGCTCTACAGTACACGTACATTACCGCGTGGCTGCATTACAGAACATGTCAGGTCTGATTTATCCACATTGTGTTTCTGCTGAGGAAACGCCTTGTTTGAGCCAGACGATAATCGGTGTGGAGTGAAGGACACTAAATCACTCGTCAGGTATCACTGACACACACGCACTGACACACAAACACAGCTACACACTCCAGGATGCACAACAACGCAGCAGAGAGCACAGCGATCGGTCCAAAACAGGTAGCGCGTGGGTGCACGTGCACGTTGCACCCACCCTCCCTCTGGGCTGGAGGTCTGTACACATTATTGTATGATTTTTACAGCTGGCGTTGGGAAGCACTTCAGCAGTGTGTAAAGACCCTATAAAGAGCAGAGTTGTAAAATTAGCAGCCACAAAATATGTACTTGCGTTTTTACATTTAAACACCCTAAAGTATATTTTTATTAGAGAAGCACAAGCTCATACCCCCACTGTAAAGACTCAAAGACTCACCCACGTGCCTCCTCACACAGGTACGTGTACAGATGGACAAGTCTGCTAAAGGAATAATGGTGTGTGTGTGTGTGTGTGTGTATTAGCATTAGCCTGTAATTTATAGTCATGTTTCTCTAATGTGTCAAAGACCAGAGTGGACTAACTGTATACTCTGTCCTGACCTAAAGACTGCAGCAGGGGGCGACACAAGACTACATGAACCTCAGCATGTGTCAGGGTCTCACATTCTCTCTCCTTCCCTCCCCCTCTTTCACTGCTGTGTTTCCTGAGTTGTACATGCCAAACAACTGCTAATCGAATAAGGTACTCATGAAATACTCAAATCACCCATCCTGCTGAGGGAGTGAATGAAGAAAGCCGAGTAAAAAAAAATAATACAGCACAAAAAATAATTAAATTTTGATTATTGTTCCACAGGATGGAATAAGAGTGAGGTGTAAACCTACAGACAGACTGGAACAAAGAGACTGGTGGTGAAAAAGGAGACAGTTAGGAAGTAGTGGCCGCTGAAATCGCGTGACTGAGTGGTGTTTGTCCCTGAGGTTGGGCAGGGCCCTTTTTTCAGGCAGGCGGTTTTGCGGACTACCCTCCTCATTCCACACACAGACTAAAAGGGTTTGCAAGCGGGTGGCATAATGAGTGTGTTTGTGTGTATGTGTGTGTGAATGCACATTAGAAAGGCCTTGTGGTGGGGAGCCCAAATATGAGTGTGAGTGCGACTGGGGGGGACTGTTTGTGTGAGTGTATGTGTGTGTGTGTGTGTGTTTGACGTCATGTTTGTTCACTCTGTGGTCGAGATGGCACCTTCCTTGACGCCAGATGCCCAAGGAAACTGTGTCCCAATTCCGTTCTGGCCCACTGAGTCGGGTCGTTAAAGATGTGCCCACACACACACACACACACACAATGCAGCCGCACACATACAGGCATTCACTTCGTTAGACTCTGGAGCAAGGACACAGATTATCCATGGAGTCAGGCTTTTGAAGTGTGTCAGACCTGTGATCACTGATGAGGAACCGTCTCCTCACAGGCAAACAAGAGGTGGACCACCTCTGCACACACTCCCCTGTACACAAATACACACCTGTACGAACACACCCTCCCAAACCGCCGTACTTGCTGTAGTTTTTTGTAATATTTGGGCAATATACGACTTAGGACGACTTTAGTAGGACTAAAGAAAAACGTGACCTCAGGTGCTTCCTTCTAACCTGGTTGTGCGTCCTCAGCAGGCAGCACGTCTCCCTCTCCTGCTCCCTTTCCCTGGCTAGTCGTTTCTGTTCCTCTTGTAGCTGTTGTTTCTCCTCCTGCAGGAGTCTCATGGCCTTCAGCAGTTCCCGGCGCTCCTGTTGAGCCTCCTCCACTCGCTGTAAGGAAAAGAGGGAATAAAGGTTATCCCAATTCAAGAATCCCAAAATATTCTGGATTTGGTTTTATAACTATAGTTGCCCTCTAATATAGTGGTTCTTTAGTATGTTTTAAACTACAAACTTTTTTCATTATACTCTTCATTCACATTCACATTCATTTGAATCTCTGGCTTCATCTACTGCATGTTTCTCTTGTGTATCTTGTGGCCTACCTCCAGCAGGCCGGTTTTTGTGGTGACAACCAGAATGTCAGAGTTGCTGTCGTCCTCGGTAACAGTCAACAAATCTTCAGTGGGCGTGGCTGACCTGAACTGAAACGGTGTGCTCGCTCCTCTGATGTCCCCAGTGTGTGTGACATAACAGAACTGGTAAAACTCTCCATCAGATTTGGGCACGTAATAACCTGTAAACAACGAGATGAGACAGACATCGTAAATAAAAAGCTTGTACTTGTACTAATTTGATTACATGTTTATGACTTGATGTGAACCAGACATTAGAGAGGGAAGAGGAAAGTAGTTCTGATAAGTTTATAAATGATTATGGGTCTAAGGGTTAAATAAAGACGTAAAGTCTTGTATTGTTGTCTGCAGTGACACTGCTGTTCTTCCTTATTCCCTGTAGGTGTCATCAGTGCTTCTTTCTGCTGCACACACACACACACACACACACAGGGGTGTGTTCAGTCTATTTTCTCTTTAGTGCTGCTCAGAAATAGTGTGCTACTTTTTCTTGGCAAAACAAACTTTGCAGCAAAAGTAAGGAAGTCGCCAACACAGAAATGTTGTGCTGAAGGCAACTCACTGGTTCCATTTTTATTACCATTTTACTGTTCAAATACATCCATATTCGGCTGTTAAACTGTCACACTGGCTGGCTGCAGGCAGTGATGGGAGTTCGCCAAATGAAAACAACCTCTGGTGAGGAAAATTAGACAGCGCACAGAGAATAGAAAACATTGTTGCCTAGTCACAGAAATGGAGAACTCTAACGACAGGTCACTACACTGATTTAAACTTTGTTTATCGGACAAACTGCAGTCACTACTGATGCTGAGACACGTGGATATAAACTCTCTGGAACTCAACAGCTTTTACTGACTACACCACAGCATCATTTCATATTTTCACTTTGTAATATTCAACTGTTCCAGCTCCAGTAAAACTAGTTTGTGGTTCTGGTGTGTGGTTTGAGAGGATCTTGGGTCTTAGGCCAACATTTGCTGCTGTGATCCCACATTAAATGAAAATACTGTTGTTTTTGTTTTATATATATGTACATATATTATATGTGCTGTAAAGTGGAGGAGTTATTCTAGAACACTACGTGAAGTGGTCCACCTGGTACGTGTGGTGGCTGTGTGTGTGTACCTTGAAACACCACAGTCCTGTGTACAGTACTTCCGGGTTCATAGTTTTCAGGCATGGGAGACCAGAGGAAGGTGTAGTAATCTCTGGCAGTGCTCCAACCCACCTGAGGAGGCAAGGACAGGCAGACATGAAGGAGACGAGGGCGCAGTGCAAAGCAGAAAACAAGAAGTGACTGATTCAAAATGTGATCATTCAGGTCTAACTGTATAAATAACAAACTGATGGTTGATAACAGAGCAGAAACATTCAAAAGCATGCCTCCGCATCCTTCCCCACACCTCCTTCTCCTCCCCTCACTTCCTAGCACTTCTGGACTCACAAAAAAGAGGCGGCAGCAAAGGTGTGAGAATGGAAGAGGTGGGGTGGGGGTTGTGAACAAGGGGTGTATAAAATGTACAAAGCTTTGTGTGCAAGTGCACAAATGTCCCATGTGGGTTGGTAGTGAGAGTAGGACTAGATAGAGAAGAGGCTTACATGTCAAGGGAGATGTGATTCCATGAGGTTCATGTGGTTGGTCACCGATGATGACAGGGAAAAGTGAACATCATAACTCATGCTTTGTGCAATAAATCTGTCACACACACTCTCCCTGCCTGGGCTGCTCACACACACACAAACCTCACTTCAGTTCACATGTGTGATACATGTTTGCTACATGACAGGACTGTACTTTGGCGGTGCATGAGTCAAACACCTGTGGCCCTGTGAGGCACAAAAGCGGCTCAAGAGACACTTGACGTTTGAACAGCTGCCACATAATTGTTATATAACGAGCAGTTCAAACTGTAGACTAATTACAGTAAGTGGTACTAATAATTATGTGGATTCACAACACACTGGGAGAGTCTTTAAAACGAACAATAAAAATTTGTCATTAGTGCTGACGTATTTTAACTGCTTCACATAATTGTAAAATTTAATTAAAAATTGATTTTATTCAAATTATTTATTTAAAATACAAAAGTAATAAGTTGAAAGAAATGCATAGAAATTCTCTTGTCAGCAGCAGTGAATCCATTGACTCTTCAAATCTAAGTCACATGATTCATAATTACAGTGTTTGCCTTATTAACCCTTTACACTCAGCGTAAAGGTATTTAAAAAAAAATGGTAAAAGCCAACATGGCAACCAAGGCCAAGAACATTCCTTCCACCTCCACCAGCATCTCAGCAAGGGGTTTGGCTGCAGCTCCACTCCTGCCAAGTTCCCTTGTGTGCTCACGCGTGTTTGCTTTGAAGCAAAGAGACATAAATAATTTTGCTAATTGCAGAGCGAAGCAGATTGACGTTCATCCTGGTATGGTGTGGCATTCCAACACATAGTGACTTTATAAAATAATCACAGGCAGAGCAGCTATCAATCATTCAGCCAAAGTGTAAGGAAAGAACCGGGTGACACTTTAATTATACCCTCACACAACGGGTTTCTCCCTGTCAAGCTAACAAACATGCCACAACCGAAAAAACCTCCTGGGGGTTTTCAGGAGTTCTGTGTTGTGTGTGTGTGTTTAAACATAAACTTAAAGAAAAAAATAAATAAAAAGAATGTTTTGCTGTGGTGCACAATAAATATTACAATACTTAATACTTAAAACAATTTTAAAAAATCAAACAAAAATATCGACAAGCATGACGGGACTGTTGTACACAGCATTTGTATGTGGTATGTATAGGATGCATTTGTGAAGCTGGGAAAGTTTGTCTCAGGAATCGATTTCTAAATTGCTGTGATATGAACGTTTCCAGCCACTAGGTGGTGTCTGAGTATAACGTAAAGAAACAGTGGCTGTATTCCACTGTCTGAGTCATCCCCCGAGGCAGGCAGATTTGAATGAAGCAGGTTAGAAGAGATGTAAAGCACAGGAGTCAATGCCATCTCGCTGACTCATCTTTAAACAGCAACTCAGATTACACTGATCAGTGGAGCTCAATGGGAAAGTCATCAAATAAATCATTTATAATACCGGAGCTACCTGTTGATATTAGTTTTTTATTATTATCCTGTCAAGCCTGAAGGGCACACCATAAAATGATCAGCATGTATATGTGGATATCTGCTGTTTCCTAATGATATCTAATATCATCAGTGAAATCAAACGTAAATATTGACCTCATTTAATGGGCCATATGTCCATAATTTACACTTGCACACTGTCAATATTAACAATGTTAAATGCAAGGTCCTAAAAGACTAACGTGTGCGTCAAAAAGATCAAACGACTACTTGTTTCTAAAGACCAAGCGCTAACCATGAAACAAGTTACTATTAAATTTTCCAATTGAATTTTCCAAATAAACCCAGCATCCTTATTCCAATTTAATTGAGCTGGTGGATTTGAAGTCACTTCTTGTACAAGGATAAAATGTTTGTCTTTTGACTTTACAACACATTAGGCTTTCTTGTTCACATTTCCTGTTAATTAAGTGTGAGATTTGATGGCCTCCATGAAAGAGCAGAGTGGAGCAGGAAAGACGTGGAAAGATGACAACAAGAACAAGTGAAGTGGGTTGAACAGGTCCTAATAGGAATCAGATTGGTGGCCCCCTCTACCCTTCCTCTTTGTGCAGTGCAAAGCAACCACACCAAAGCTTGTGGTGAGGCTTTAAGCATGTAGTGAAGAGTTGAGGCATTAGTGTCAAGGCGGATGTATGTGTTAACGTGCCAAGTTCAAACCTATGGCCAATTAATTAAAACTTTACACATAATCCATGACACAAACACAAAGTAATAGCCTGGGAATTGCTGCCGCTTTTAACAACCTCTCAGTAATACGAGTGATTTTCAGTTAATAACAGTCCTTGAAAATGGTCTTAATAGCAGCTACGTGTGTGTTTGTGTTTATGTGTGTCTGTGTGTGTTTGTTACGTACCTTGAAGATTCCCACCCAGTCTTTGGGGTGGGGTGCAATGTACGGGGTCAGGGTGTAGCGACACTCCAGAGGCGCCTGGGGCAGGAAACTTTTCCCCACATTTTGGAAGATGACGTGGGCAAAATTGGATGTTTCCATTAAGCTGACGCTGCTGCCTGGCGAACAGTCCACCACCTGGAAGGATGACATTGTCTCCTCTTGGTCACTTCATTTGTCTCTGTAGAAAGTAATGTGTATAAGGGACAATGAGTCAAAAACATCAGTCATACATGATTGCACGACAGGTCATTATGGTTTTTGATAAATCTCAGTGCTAGGTTCAGATGACGTTGATGTTTTTTATGGAGTTATTTGTATTTTTACCCCGGGCGTAAAACCCATGTTGTTAACTTCTTAAATTTACTAATCATGGTGTGAAAGTATAATTGTACTTTGCGGGGAACTTCCTCAGTGATGGTGAATGGGTGTGGATGTGATGATGAGTCGATGAAACAGCGGTGGGATGAAGCTTTAACACACAAAATTATTGTATTAAATTGCTGCATTTGCTACCTAGTAACAGAACCTGGAAAAGATAAATGGTATATCAACCATGCAGGTCATTAAAATAATTATTTGCTAATTATTTGATGCAATGATCCCATACAGAAGAAAACATCTAAAAAATAGTTAATAATTTAATAAGCATTATAGTATAGCATTGTGGTATTTTATAAGGGCTTTATAACAGAACAGTGCAGTATGTATAACAATGTATGATTGTATAACATACATATTAATAGCCACAAAAACATAAGAAACAAAAACTAAATGAATGCCTTGACTTACAGTACAATAGTTAATTGCAAAACGTATCTTTGTGATAGCAGCAGGCTTTGTGTAAATAAACCCACTTCACAGTGCCCTACAGAACCTGACTGGCTTCTGTTGTTTTTATAGGCAGATGGACCACCAGTCCACAGTAACTCCAAGTCTTATCACACCAAGAATATCATGCATGTCCTGCTAATGATCTGTCTTTGACAGTGAGAAAACAAACACGTGACTCACGGTGCGATGCAGCTTCTTTGCATTAATGTCCTTTGTGAATGATTACAGGTTTAAGCAACACAATATGTTGCTCCACCTTTCCCTTTAACCCGGCCCTGTTCTCCTTACAAAAAATATGTCAATGTTTGAAGTGAAGTGATTATGACTAAGCAGGGGCTGGGTCCATCCATAAGCAGCTACCTTAACGCTGTTAATACAGAGGAAACAGCTACTACCACGTAATAAACGTATTACAGAGGCTTTACAGAACAGTCCTGTCGTGTCACTGACCCTTGCTTTAAACAGAGTATAATCGTATTAATTTAAATAAGGCTAGGCAGCTAAGTTAAGCCTGCGAACAGGCCATGTCGTGTCAAGTCAGCAGCTAGCTCAACGTTATCTCAGAGACATAAAAGACAATAATCAAAGCCTTTGTTAAAGGTCGAGATTCAAACCATACCACTCTCACTTTAAGTCCACTGGTGAAAATTGGAATTTCCGCCGAAAGGCCAATGTTTAAAGCACTGTCCGTGTTGTTGTCAAAGCTGTGACGATGATGCGTCTCCTCCTGAACGAACAGATGATGCTCAACTTCCGGGATGCTGTGCAGTGCAGCGAGAGGATGCTGCTGATGCTCGCGAGAACACAATGTCCGACAAGAACTCCAATATGAAACATTATAATATTTTTTTAAATAAAAAATAAATAATCGTACACCGACTTAACCTGTCCAGAGATATTATATAACATGTGTTGCAGTAACTAATTTATATGCGATTCGCCATTGTATAAAACCTCTTTGTGGTCTTACTTGTTAACAGTTAGTAATACAAATTACTTTCAGGTTTGCATTAAACCGTTATACGTTCAAAAATGCATAAAACGTTAAGGAGTAAAACACCGGATATCCCTCCTAATACATAATTTCTATTGGCTGTTGGCCCTGACCTAGCACGCTGATTGGCTAAAATTACACCAGCTTCCATTGCTTGACAGCTGTCATCGTCTGTTGTTGAGGTCAAAACAAAAAAGAAGCATGGCTGCGTTGTTCAGAGGGTCACGAATTTTAATACTGAGGTGGAATAAACATGTCGACTTTTCACACGGTAACGTATGAGCACACGCTGGCCCGATCTCTGCCTGATAACCGATTTCTCCCTAGCTTGTTAGCTCGGTTGTTAGCCCCCTGTAGATAGTACAGTATGAATGAACTGTCCGAACAGTCTGGACCACATGTGTACACAATGTTCCCCTTGTTAAAAAGCTCGTATTTGCATCAGTCGTGCTTTGTTTTCGAACGTAACATTCATGAAAAATACTTATTGTAAAGGATCGGCAACTTTTTTCTCTCCTTTTTTATTCCTGGTGAGGTGTACCTGCATGTGGGCTTATCTTTGGACCCCACACTATTTACTTTTCTTTCCTAACTGTCTCTAAAAAAGACAATGTGTTCAAAATGTACTCATTATTCAAGTTTAAATAAAATATGATAAATATATCACAAAATAGCAATACTCGTTAATCTTTTAGATAGATCGCCTGTAAGTAGAGGAGAGCAGCTGTTGGGTTTAGCTGTGACTTGAATATGATGGTAAAAGTAGAATAATGTAATTATATCAATTCCAAGTCCAGATTACGACAACGGTGTAGAATAGAACATTTAAAAAAACTTTAGAGACTTATTCCAAAAATAAATGTGATTGATTGTGAATGAGTTTTATCAACACGCCATTAAAATCACTGCCTGTGAATGATGACAAGGATTTATTCCAATGTGGTTACGAATTAAATCTATCAGTTGGTCGGTTGGGCCAGAAATATACTGTAGTGGCTATGTAAATGTTAACTGGAGACGTTATAAAGTGGATTTGTGTGGTACAAAGAACACAATCCTTACCACAGAATGATGGTGCTGTGGAGTAGCTTGACTGCATCCAGAATAAGAAATCTTGTGATGGTGGGTGGAACGTAAAAAAGAATAAGGAAATGTGTAAACACAGAAGCATCTTTAACAAACTGTTTGCTTATTTTTGTTTAAGTAATATTTTTAAATGTCGAGTTTCTGACAATTTTAGTGGCGCTTTCAAGTGCTTAGAACGTGTAATACTGTACATGTAAGGAGTGGAGAACAGAAGGCAAACCTGGCCTTTGCTCCGTGTTTACTACTGTGTTTTCAGTAAACATTGCAATGTGCAAAGTGCTGCAAATACCCTCCAACTTCAAAACAAAAATTAGGACATTGAAAACCATGATAGTAACCTACATCCAGCCAAGAATTATAACATAACCAAAGTTATCATATTGACAGTTATTGGATTTTTTATTAGTTATTCATTATTATTAGGTTGTCCCTTTGATTTGCTTGATAGTAATAAGTAAAGACATTAAAGATGTTGCTTGATGTTTTTTTTTTCTGTAAAATATTAAAACAGTAGTTGCTACGGTACATGTCGAACAGTCTTCTGTGAAGCAAGCCTCTGTCTTTGCCTTCACTCTTCAGTGTTGCTTTTGTGGTTGTAGACTCGTTGGCCCGTTGCCAATGTTTCCACTAGGTTTAGTATCTGTTTGCCTGACTAGACCTCGGCTGAGCCAGCAGTGTTTAATAGCTTGGCCAGACTTTGCAAAGCTGGTGATATTTAACAGCAGAAACATTTTCCCTGTTGTTATTGATTCAAATCAGAAGACTGTCAGCATAACCGTCAGCTCAGGGTTTTTTAATAAACAAGCAGAAATATCATGAAGATCAGTTCATACATTTAACCCTCGATCCATTTACATCACTTTTGTTCCCCTTTGCCCCATTCTTCAGCCTCTTCATCATTAGTTTGCAGTGACGAGTCCTTCTTAGTCTTCCCCCTCTCAGTTCAACATGTGGTCCGTCTCCTATGGGTTTCAGGTCATCGACTGTTCTGTTCCCAACTCCCCTAAAACATACTGTATCTGTACCAAAACATCTGTGTCTACCTACAGATATCATACCAAACCTGTTCCCAACATTGATTAATTACAGCTTACAATGATAGAAAACACATAAAAGGCTTTCTTTACAGCTTTTCAGAAATTAAATATGTTGGTCTCGAGCCAAAAAGGGGTCTCACTGTTTCCCACACTTCTCTTTGTTTTCTTCTTCCAGTGTCAGTGCGATCATTGGCTTCAAAAACCCCAGTGGGATTTATTGGTCTGGGAAACATGGGCAGTCCCATGGCCAAAAACCTAATAAAGAATGGTTATCCAGTTATAGCCACTGATGCCTTCCCTGAGTCTTGCAAAGAGCTGCTTGACCTGGGTGCCCAGGTAAAAAAAAAAAAACAACACACACAGTTGCATGTTGGATAGTTTATTAATCCCTCAGGAGTTCCCTTTGGGAAATTAAGGCTCAGTTTAAATATATAAATATTCTCCATAGCTTAAATAAACATTTGAGAGCAAATGTAGTTAATGTTTGTCTTGTCAGCAAATTTTGAGGTTTTGTAATGTGAGGTAAAATCTGACGTTTGTTTACCAGGGTGTTACTTTTTCCAATGTTCAGGTGGTGGACTCGCCTGCACAAGTAGCAGAGAGAGCCGACCGCATCATTACAATGCTGCCATCAAGTCCCAATGTGATAGAGGTATACACTGGGCCAAATGGAATCCTGAAGTAAGCACATCATATTTTAAAATGTGAACTACCTCATCTGTTTTTATGATGTGCACGAAAAATGAAGTTGTTTCAATTTGACTTTTCCAGAAAGGTGAAAAAGGGGACGCTCTTAGTTGACTCATCCACCATTGACCCTGCCGTAGCTAAAGAGATGGCAGTTGCTGCTGAGAAGATGGGTGCCGTGTATATGGATGCTCCAGTATCAGGAGGTATAGTCTCACCTGCTGTGAACAAACACTTTTATTTCTATTAAGCTATTGATTTCAAAATGGATTATTACAATTATTGAATTGCACTTGATCTTAATGTTCAAACAACACTGATATCGTAAAAAAAAATCAGAATCAGAGTGCTTTTTGGTTCATGCAGTATGACCTATGACCCCACAGCTTTGCTTCTCTGCTGTCTGACACTCATATGTATTTATCTAAACTCTGGGACCTTTTTGATAAGTGCCAGGAGGTGTGTTGTAATTACTGAGGGCACCATCCGGTAGGTGCCCTCCACAGACTTTTGTTGCTCCTTTTGACCGAGAGCTTAAAGGCAAGGTTAAGGTTTTAAGTCCTCATTATGTCGGTGCTATCTCCCTGTGACAGCTCTTTGACAGAGCACAGGATCACCAGTCAACTTTAATGGGCTGAGCCACACTGGAGAATCCCATGTCAGGGCTTTTCATGTTGATGGAGCCGTAATGGCGGGTATCCCATGTAAGTTCCTTTCATGTTAGATAAAGAGTCATAAAGAGGAGAGAAACTGTTCTCTCTCAGTGAGTGCACGAGAGGAGAGGAGGGAGATAAGACATGAAAAAGACACATCGCTGTAAAACTGTCCATCTCTCTGTCTCTGCACACACACACGCACACATCTTCCGATTCAAGTATGCACTTACTCCTGGGTATTAGCCTGCTAAGTCTGATCATAGCCTATTTACTTTTTACAGCAATCTTTGTCCATGTTCAGAACACGGTGTGTGTGTCTCCCTCCCTCCCTCTCCGGTACAAACACAGACTTGGCCCACACATACATGTTTACCAGCCAGCATCAAAAGAGCAGACCGACTGCAGTCAGCAAGATCAGAGCCTTAAGCCTGCTACTCTCCCTTAACACACACTGACTGTTTACATAGTATAGACAGTGCACAGTTCATGCGTGCGGTCCCTGTGAAGGTTCTTCCTCTCCTGTCTTTTAAACTCAGCCTTTTTACAAGCCTGAAATGACCAATGATTTACCTGCGTTCTCTGGCCTCTGCAGTATCCTCTGCAGACACTCTGGTCTAGCACACATGTGTCATCTGAAAACGTTTGGTTGTCTTACACATGCATGCAACTGCATGTAGGTTGTTCTGAGCAAAGTAAAAGGGGGGAAGTATGTTAAGGGGAAAAGAAGTGGGAACATTCATATTCAATGATGATTGAATCTGAGTAGGATGATTGATGGGGTTAGTTGTGGCGGTTACGGCACTCAGACAAATGTTCTGCCTCAGGCTGAGCCAGGGAATGAAAGTTTGCAGCGATGGTGTGACCCTTTAATCTGGGGTTAAACCTGTGGAGACAGGTCATGAAAAAATGCTCCAATGTGTGGTAAGTAAACCGGATGTGGCCCAGTTCTTCACACCCTCAGCCCCTGACACAGTTTCCCCACTGCTGTTCCTACGTCCCTGGGTGATGTGAGGTTAACATGCTGTGCTGTAACCAGGAGATGGCAGCCTACCCCAAACAGGGCACTGTTATGCATATGTTTGTGTGTGTGTGAAGGTGTGTGTTCTTTCAGTTCCAAGACCAATTGTATAATTACCACTCTTATTACTTTATTCAAATTAATTAAGACATATTTAAACAAATATTGTGTACCAAAACAGTTTAGCAAACACTACCCTGGTTCAAATGACATTCTGATCTTCACATCTTCATATCCTCAGAGTGGTCTGTGGTCATTTGGACAAATGTGAAGAGAAACTTGGAGAATTATAGTTATTAAGTATTGGTTTTTAAAGCACATTAAATTTAAATAATGCAATTTCTGTAAAAATCACCATTGAAAATATATACAGTATGTGCATTAAATATACAGCTTTTTGCTAAATGTTTTTCACATTTATATTGGCACATTTGGCGTCTTCTTAGTGTGGGTTCTTTTGTTTAAATTTAAATCTTTTAATCTAAAATCACTTGGTAGGTTTAAAACAGAAATGTGCATTTGCATGTTGTGTGCGTCACTGGAGGTTTGGCAGGCAATCTGAATCGCAGAGTCAACCCTTTTTAAAAACAATCAAAAACAACCTTTCACTTTCCTCTCTCTGGCGTCCTGTGGGCTTTCCTCGGCAGATTGACCGCTGCTTCATAGATGTGAACACGGACGCACTTCTACTGTATTAACGTAGACGTTGGCTTTTCAGGCATACTAATGTATTCTTGAACACAAACCTCCGCCACTGTCTGGTGTAATTAAAAGTGTCCACATGTAAAATCCACCCACAACAAAACAAGCTCTGATGTCACATGCCGTGGGTGTTGGCACAGCCATGGCAAAAATAGGAGGTCTGGCTAACAAGTGACGGGTCGTTAGCAGTAATTATCCAGAGTGTCTGTGTCTGCGTGCCCATGGTGGGCTGCCACTTTGCTCACGGTCGACGGCTTTAAAAAGGCCCTAAAAGCCTTTCATTGTGTTTTTCCCAGCATTGCGAAAGTCGGCCGTTGGAGAAAATGAAAGTAGAAACCTCGCTGTTATGGAGCCATGGGCTCTAGGGGTAATGCAGCTTGTTTGTGGGGCCTCATGATCCTTAGCTAACTACCTATTTATTCCCAGTCTCAACACCACCCTAATCACATCCATACCACATCACTGAAGCCTGAAAATGGCAGCGTGTCATTTGCTGACAGTTTGAACGTCATCTTTCAGCCTCGGGAGCTGGTTCAAGCCAAAGCTGGCACCGCTCCGTTTGTTGATCGGCACTGCCAACACACTCCAGCCTTGGGTTCTCTTTCCACTGAACAAAGTTTAAGATTGTACTGTTGCAACTAAAACTAATTCGATATGTGTGTGTTTTAACTGGCCTATACAAATCTTTTATCTTGATGATGATCTCTTATTAGGCCAGGATGGAATTTCTCCATGAATATTTGCAAGTTAATTGTAAATTTAAAAAATCGGTACGGTGCTGTAGAATATCGATATCGTTTTCATAGTCTTCACCACCACTGCTGCTGCCCTGCTCTTTACCTCCTACAGTAAGGCCAAACTTTTATTTCCACCCATCGTGATTAAATTCTGATGCAAGCAGGAAAAGTTGTATATCCATAAAAAACCCACAAATTGCGATTTAATTAAACATAACGTGTGTCTGTACTTCTGACAATCACCCCTGTGACTGTATTTGGTTAAGCCCATTAGCTGCTTTCACAGGTGTGTGTGTGTGTACATTTCGACTTAAGTGATAACCCGGAATTCTGACCACAGATTGACAAATAACATTATGAAGTCATCGTCCACAAACCCTGAGCCTAACCACACTGCTGACGAGACCAGCTAGCCTAGGAGCCTAGCTAAAAACTCTCACCTAATCATTTTTTCACACAATTCAGTGCAACAAAACTGATACTTAATTAATTATTTTCATTTGAATATATTTGAAGAAGAATGTTCATTTCAATATACCAGTGAGCCTTTATGATACATTTTTATAATAACAATTGTCATATTTTTAGACTATCAGTTATGTTTTTATTTTATTTACAGCAAATAACTCATAATGTTATATACTAAAATCACAATCCTGTTGCCCTAATGGTGCTAACATACTACTAACATTACCTTGGGTTGTTTCCCTTACCACTTTCTTTTTTTTCTTCTGGATATTGTGGTTTTAAGACAAACCAGAATTCACTTCAGAGCTGTGCTTCCCATACAGACAAACACATCCAGTCAAAATTTGGAATAAAGCCATGCAAGCTTCTCAATGGCCATTGACAAGCACTTGAGTGAAGCTGACCTTTACCTTGAATGAATTTATGGATTTCTTGAAGTCCATGAATGGCTAGAAGCAGTTTAGGTATAAATATACAGTTCATATGCAGTGAAGGACAGATCACTCACTCACTTTTTCTAAACTGAACTCGTGTGTGTACAGTGTGTCTTGTCAGCAAAAGTAGTACGAGAGCGCTCAGGTTAAACTAATCCAGGCTGAGAATGGGATTAATTGAGTAGAAGAGTCTGTAAGGCTGACGTTAGTTTAGTGAAGGTGAGTGGTGATTCACTGAGGGAAGGAATCCCAATGATTTTGCAGGGGGTAGCGTCTGTCACGTTGATTGCTAACCAGTACTGGAGAGTGTCAGTGGCCCAAAGACTTGATTAGCATAATAAGCCTTTCCCTGACGGGTTGTGGTGACACTGAGGGAGAAAGTGGGGCTGCAGTGGGAGGGTGGAAGTGACCGGCAGCAGGAGGGGTGGTGAAAGGGGAATTCTTGCCCGTGCTCCAGATGGAGGTGGACCCACAGCAGCTGGGGACTGGCTCTTACTTCCCTGCTTCTGTGTCATCTGCTGTGTGTGTGTGTGTGTTTCATGTATTTGTGTTTAAATATGTGTCTATTTGAAGACAAATAGCCAGCTGGTATGCGAGTCGTTCAAAATGTCTCCTGTCCGTCAAACGTAGTCCAAATGTCACATCTCAGGTCACTTATCTAAAAAGGAATTAGCATTCTGTCTTTATAAAGGACAGTTTCTCCACTTCATCGCTGTGCTGGCTCTGTGTGTTTCTGCTTGCTTACGGTCTAATTGGTCCTCATTATTAACTTGCTCAATTCGAGATGAGTCTCCTCGGGCCGAGAAAGGGATTGATCATGGATTGCTGCTGTGGGCTCCGTCCTCTGTCACCTATCATTGACCAACCTCTCCCCTGTGGAAAGGTTCTGCTATAGAAGATGATGATGATAATGAAGATAATGATGATGATGATGGCTGGTCTCGTGGTCAGTGAACAGATGTTCTAAACCCGTTCCACTCTGGGAGTAGCACTTTAGTACGAAAACCATTTCCTTTTTTTCCCCCTAAAGCCCAGTCTTTTCCCAGTCCCTTGCCTTTTTCGCCAGGTTCTCATGGCACGTTTGTGAGTTGGAGTCAATTCTATGGCTGTGTACTCGTAAACTGAAGCTGATAAAGAGTCTGTTTTTAACACAACAGAGGGGCATTAGCAAAGTTGGCAGATAAACTGTTGAAAGTGCTGTTTTCCAGCATTTTTTTTTTTTATATGCCAGTGAGTGATTTTGGTCTTTGCGCTTGATATCTGTTATGCCTTTTACAGGCCCTGTTTAGGGTTTTAATTTGTTTGAGAAAAGGAACTCTGCCCTTGGGTGTAATTATAATGTTGGGCCACGGGAGGCTGCAATGTTGGACTGTAAACTTCTTACCCCAAGTGGCTTCTCCTGCCAGAACTTTAGTCTCATTGAATCAGGGCTGTAACCTCCATGGAGATTGGCACAAATTTATTAGTTCCCCAAGGAATGTTTTTTAAAATAAATTCTCTGTAGAGTAAACTAAAGGCCGGGTCCACGCCAGAACACCATCCAACCTCGAGGATGCTTAAGAAGTGTGCCCTTCATGCCATGGCAAATGCATATACACTCTAGGTACATACATTAATATATTATCTTACTGTTCCAAGGAATAATGATATCTGAGTGAGCTTTTTGAGAAGTCAGTGAAACTTGTCTCAATGAGTCAGGGAGGAAAAAGTGGCCAAGGAGACGAAGGTATAACTGAGACATAAAAGAAGCACTTTGGGTGTTTTCTTTATTCGTACGCATTGATGCTTTCACTCGAGCCGTAGAAACTAATTCAGATACACCGGATAGATTACACCGTGGAATGTGGTAGTGTATGTTTTCTTCATTTATTTATCCATTTTCATTTTATTAATCACTCTCTTTGTGCAACGTATTCCACATCATAGTCTCCTCCTCCCTCAGCATAAACACACTCACACACATACACACTCTGTCCCCCCCACCCCCCGGAGGGTGTCGTGTAGTTGTGCAGTGCTAACGATCCAAGACTGTCACTCCCGCTGGGATGGATGAGCCAGCAGACCCAGCGCTCAGGAAACCTCATTAGGATTCCTCTTTAATCCGTCTCTGACAGGACCGGCCCGAGAACAGGATGTACACACACACACACACACACAGAGGTGTATCTAGTATCATTGACTTACATCATGCATGCAAAGACAACTGCACTCCACGCACAATAAACAGATATCGCCAACACACATCGTCCTACACACAGACACCCATTCATTGTAATGCAAATGTTGTGTTCCTTCTCCAGCCCTCGGGCTCTTCCATCATCCTGGTGTCACGGCTTATAGAAATCCACTACAGATCATAAGAGCTTATTATGGGTGATTAGTTAATTCGAAGGTTAGAGAGTTGGGAGGGATGCTGGGAGGCAGAGAGGGAAAGATTGTTTTCTCTCTTTTCTCCGTCATGTCTACATCTCTATCTGCTGCTCTCTTTCTTTTCCTCTGCTCATTCTCTCTCTCTCTCTCTCTCTTTCTCTCTTTCCTTCTATCAGTTCATCCTTCTCTGTTTTGTGAAATATATTGATCACCAGCAACTCTGTTATCAATAATCCCCTCTTTAGTCATCCACAAACAGTGATCTTCACTAATGAGCCAGCACAGTTGTCATTGCTCTCTCTCTTCCCCTCTCTCTCTCTCCCCCTCTCTTTCTCTCCCCCTCTCGTTCTCTCTCTCCAACTTTCTTTTTTCTTTCTCTCTTTCCTGCCCATAATTGTGATGTCGTTTTGTTTTTACTTTTAGTGACTTTCAGTTAGATATATTAAATAACTGGAGCTTCTATATTTACATACACTTGAAATGAATCACAGCAACCGAAGTCCTCCAAAATGAACAAAACCAAATTAAATAGTTTAAATTAGCTAGAATTTTCAGTTGACATCCTACAGTCACTACGACTAATACACCTCTGAGCATTATTTATTATTATGATACTGGTCCTGTAAAACTGTGCAGCTTTTCCTGCAGTCGATTTGTGTTTAACTTAACAACAAAGATTCACAGTGACTTCAGATTTTCACAGAAATGAACCTCGTAACTGGGTCTAAGAAAAGGGTCAAAGTTTACCATAGTTTACCATCATTATTTGGCCATTTGTGTGAAATAGTTTTCCCTAAAATCATTGCAGAATTTCCTTCTTATTTTTTATGCAGATGTGGTTTTATGTGTGGCTTATATTGTGTTTTTTTATGTGAATTAAATCCAATAATTATTATTTCTGTGAAATGCGGTAGAGTGCAAAATGACAGGCCCTTACATTAACAGTTAAGTTCTGTTAGCTGTAGTTGCGACGATCCTCCTGAAGTCTGTTAGTAATCACAGGTAATGCAGGGCCCCATAAAAGAAAAGGCAAAAAAGACAGCAGTAAGTAACAAGAAAGATGAATCGATCATGTCTGCAGTCCGTGCAGCATATGTGTGTATGATTGGTGTGTGTGGCAGCCGTATGTTCGGCGTGTGCTCGCTGTGGTCCATAGGCAGCTGCCGCAGCGTGAGCCTCGGTCTTAATTATGTGGCCCTAATGACCTGCTGACAGCCCAGGGCTGACACACAGCAGCCCTGACACGCAGCACTGTCGGCGGCGCCGCGTATACACTTGAATATATATCGTCCGGTCGGTTAAATAGTCGTAGCAGAGGTAAACATGTTTGGTTGATGTGCTGTGGAAATACACAGTAACTGCTCCGTCCTCCTGCAGTGAAATCTGATAATGTGATGTCAGCTGTTTCGTCTCCAGTAATTCCCTTTTAATTATTAACACGGACATTATTAGGCTTTTACTATTAAGAGGCCTTTCATTAGAGCCAGACAACACCCTGAAGACAGATTTGTTCTCACTCTCTTTTCCCTCCTCCCCTTTTGTCTTTAAAGAAACCCACATTCTCTTGAGAAAAAAAAACAACTACTTTGTTTTAAACCTTTGTATCCATATTGCCTTTCCAGTTAAGGTCTACACACAATGTGTTAATTACACAATTATCAATTGGAGTATCCAATTAGTCTTAGAAGCATTTAAGGTAAAGGGTCAGTTATGGTGGGACATCATCACTGGACACTCTAAAAGGGCATTCTTTCTGCATTAATACTCTTTGAAAGGGGGGTGTTTGTGGAGGGAGCGGGGGCAGGTTGCCTCCTACAACACGGCATGCCTCTTAACCCATCAGGCACGGGGTGGGATAGCTAATTGAACATGATAAAGTGTAAAGTTAATTACCCCTCACGCCTGTCACTGATACCCCTCTGAGAAAAGGGAGGGCGGGTGTCTTGCCTCAGGCACAGCTGTTTGTGTGTGTCTGTGTGAGTGTGTATGTGTTTACGCGCGCGTGTGTGTGTGTAAGAGAGGGAGAGAAAGCAAAAAGAGGGGTGACAGGACAAAGGCAAGGGCTCCCGCGAGAGTTGTGCCGAGGATGATGGCAACAATCGGCTTTTAAAGATACCTCTGTCCCTCTGGTGCGCCGCTACTTAACACGTCTGTTCCTCTATGAGTCTTTCACACTGAGAAAAAAAAAACACAGCTGACCTTTCAGACACAGTCGGTGGTGTTGGAATAACCCAGTTGTTGATAAATGTTCTTGGTGCAGAAAATCCATATAACCAACCATACTAAATAACCACAACTAGTCACACAGTTTTGTTTTTTTCTTTTAAATATTCTGTAATGTTTTACCCTATCGTCCAGAAGGTGATGCCGGTTCCACAGGTTTGGGAAGAGCTGACCTCACATCAGTTTAGCAGTATGTACATACTATCAGATATGTCTTGACATCATCTGCTCGTTTGTTTGTGTGTGTTCAGGTGTTGGTGCTGCCAGTTTGGCCAAACTGACCTTTATGGTGGGAGGAGTGGAGCAGGAGTATCATGCTGCACAGGAGCTGCTAACGTGCATGGGAGCCAACGCTGTTTACTGCGGACAAGTCGGCACTGGGCAGGTGAGTGAGTGTGAAGTAAACGACGTGCACACTGATCTGATTATGACGTTGTTTACTTTACTTGTGGACAAAAACTGACAGTTTCTTTCTTATGTTTGATTCCCACTAGGCTGCAAAGATCTGCAATAACATGCTACTGGCCATAGGGATGATTGGTACTGCAGAGACCATGAACCTTGGCATCAGGTACATTTTCTCAATGCCACACCAATTTGCTAAGTTTTGATTCATTATATGGACTGATTGTAATACTTAATATAATATAGTTTGCATTGTTTTTGTCACAACGATGATAAAAAATCATTTTTATCCTTTAAACCCCAAATCCTCCCCTATGGTCACGTGTGTGTATTTTCTATAAGTGCTCAGGGGTCGGTCCAGCCCATCCTCACTCACCTGTGTGGATAGAGATGGATGAGTGGGCAGAGCCACAGACTCTGATTTACATCTGCTGATAGAGCTCTCAGTCGTATCCTGTCACGGAGCTGTCACCAAACACCACCTAGAAATCCCATCATTCATCACATTTGGTCCCTAACCAGTTGGCCAGAAGGCTGAGGAAGATGTGCTACACAGTCTCACACCAGTGCAAATAAATATGGCTCAGAATTTCACCCAAACGTCACCCATTTCTACACCACACTCGAACAAGGTCTCTGCTTTTTGTTTTCTCTAGATGTGGTGCACCATTCACTTAGTTTATGGTCATAATGTCAGCAGTAATCAGCAGTAACTTCCAATCAAAAATCAAAAAGTTTTCTACCCTCAAAATATGAGAAATTGATTCCTACAGCTACAGCTGCATTACCTTCTTATTTCCACACATATTAAGTTTAAAAGTAATCTGTGTTTCTGGTTCAAAAATTCAAAAAAACTGATTTGTTTTTCACCTGTCACTTGTGAGTAAACTGTGATTTTTGACTTACGTCGTGGCCCCGTTTCCAGGTTTCCAATTTATAGCTTAAATCTGAAATTTATTTTATTTCTCCTTGTTATTGTTTGAAGTTATTTTTATGTAAAAAAGAAGCACAAAATACTCGAGTTAAAACACAATTATCAACATGCAACATTTAATGTTTTGTATCATATTGGCCAAATTGCACATTCCATGAAAATTACCGTTACTTCCTCCAGTGCCTGCTCACCAAGATTTATATCTGTTTTAGGAACAATTACCAGATGACGCTGACGTGAAATGACTGATGGCTTCAGTGTTAGTGATTAGCTTTTGTAATAATACGCATTGAAAACAGTTTTGGTGTCAAATTAAAATGGCAGCAATAAAAAATGTTTCAGCGGGGGATAAAGTTACAGGTTTCACTCCTGAATATCACACTTTGAAAAGGAAATGGGCTTTACTGCATTAAAGTCTTCCCATCATTCATCTCTCTCTTGAATGTAGTTACCCAGAATTATCAGATTAGTGTTGCACATTTGTAAGCCAGAATTTATTTCCTACTTTGTACAAATCCCTTGTCAATAATAGACTGTTTCCTCTGTTTACCGTGTTACTCTATGTGTTTTATGGGCTCTGCAGCTTAAGTGGCGTGTGCATTCATTTTGTGTGTGTGTGTGCGCGCGCTTGCATACAGGCATGTGCACTCGTACGTGTGTGAATTACCTCTCAGTGCACAGTGCAGCTGTGTTAGTGCAGCTGATTTATCTGTGCTGAGGCAGAGGAGGAAAATTGGCATGAGCAGTCGCACATAAATCCCAGCACCAGGCCTCAGAAATATGGTGGCATTAGGGGAGCAACACAGATTTATACTTCTGAACACTGTCACGTGACCCACACGCACACACACATTACACCTCAGTGCCACCACCTCCACTCAACTCTGTACACTTCTCTAATGTGGAAAATAAAGAATGAGTTCTGCTAACATGCTAATTCAGGGTGGCCCAATAAGTCGATCGCAATCTATCAATAGATCGCAACCGAAGTACTGGTAGGTCACGATCAAATCAAATAAAATATAAATATAATTCTGTATTGTGTAGTAGTGACCTTATACTAATACTGGAAGAATTAAATCATATTGTACCTTACAGCTAGATGTATTTAATCAGTACCCCAACATATGATGTCTTAAATCTCCTGTGCAGAGAGAACACTCTTCTGTGTCATGTGTGGGCCTCTTATCTATCACACACACACACACGTACAGATGCACTAGTGTAACAAAAAAAAACGTTCACAGTCAATTTATGACAAAGTAGACATCTTGACCTCATAAAGCTGCTCTTTTCCGTGTGTGTGTGTGTGTGTGTGTGTGTTTACCTTATTATGCAGGCAGTCTCAGAAACACACACTCTCCGTTCTGTTCGTGAAGCTAATTTGCTGATCTCAGATGGACACTTAAGCCGTCGCCAACCGAGCGCGGCGTTGTGTCTGCGCGGGGAATGGCGATGCATGACAATTATGAGTGCACGTGTGCACACATGCAGACAATGCGATGTCTGCCTTTTTTATTCCTTTTTTTTTTTTTTTTTTTGTTTTTTTTTTTTTTTTTTTGTTTTTTTTTTTTTTTTTTTGTTTTTTTTTTTTTTTTTTTGTTTTTTTTTTTTTTTTTTTGTTTTTTTTTTTTTTTTTTTGTTTTTTTTTTTTTTTTTTTTGTTTTTTTTTTTTTTTTTTTGTTTTTTTTTTTTTTTTTTTGTTTTTTTTTTTTTTTTTTTGTTTTTTTTTTTTTTTTTTTGTTTTTTTTTTTTTTTTTTTTGTTTTTTTTTTTTTTTTTTTGTTTTTTTTTTTTTTTTTTTTGTTTTTTTTTTTTTTTTTTTTTTGTTTTTTTTTTTTTTTTTTTACTTCTGATCTTCTTTGCCTCTCAGAATATCTTCATGCATCAAAAACATGGGCGAGAAGCTGATGCATAGAAGGACAGGATTTTAACGATACACTTGAAAATAAAAGAGAGGCGAGAGAAGGACTGAGTGGCAGGGGATATGAGGTTATCACTGACTCCCAGTTTTACCTTTACACCAGGAATAAGGAATCTGTAACTAATGTGTGCCAGTGTTTGAATCAAAGCAGATAGCCTGTGAATATATGCCTGTTAGCTCCCTAATGTATTCATAAATGTAGATCGGCCTGGGCTTCCTCTTCACACATGGCATCAGACCAGGATGAGGAGCTTATTGCAGTGAGGTCAGTTAATGTCAGTGCTGAACACCCTGCCCTTTTATCTGGAGTCTGATCCACGGAGGCATCAGGCAGCAACACGTTTGCTCCACCGCTGGTGTCCCTCTGTGTTTGTCTCTGTCAATCCTGTTAAAGCGTGACATGTCCTCTCCGTCGCGCAAATTACCACAGGCGAGGAACACCGCTGCGGTGTTAGCTAATAACCATGACTGTGCTTGCGATTATGTGGGTGTGTGTATGTGAGGGCGGCAGAAGGAGAACTCCATTGATTTATTGTTAACAGAGGACAACAGCCCCACGTCAGCGTCTCTGATCGCTACAACCAACGATCTGAGCACTCTGACGCACGGTAACCTTTTCAGCTGCTGACCCAGAACACTGGGAGGGGCTTCGATCAAAGTAGTTGGGATTAGGGTTAGAGTTAGAGTTCGGGATGAGGATAGTTGGGTTAGGGTTCAAATAAAAACAATCTAATGAAAGCTGTGGTAGCAATTGCAGAATGATGGGGTGGGTGGAGAGTGGATAGTCATATTGAGAGCAGAATAGACTCACAGGCCTGTAAGAAACATCGAAGAGAGGCAGCCAGGGCTTGATGTGGTCCGCTTTTCACTGGCCTTTAAAACATTAATATACAAAAGCCGCAGTGCACACAGGCAAATTGAACTACTGACACAGACGCTTGGGCTGCACCCACTCTACTTTAATGTTTAGCACTTTGTTTCTCTCCCTGCTTCCTTCTGTCTGTGGCCTCTTTGCCTCGTTTTTTTTTTTTTTTTTTTCATCATAGTCTGGAGATTTGTTGTCTTGCATATGAAAGTAGGTTGCCGCAAAATGGGGCAGCAGAAGTAACAGCCTGCTCCTGGTGTGTGACAGCGAGGTTTATGGCTCCCCTGTGCTGCTTAACCACTTCTCCTCCTCCACTTTTTTTCTCATGAAGGAGGGATGATGAAGGATAGACGTGCTGGTAAACATCAATACTGCATTAGCCGACATTACAAAGCCTTCAGCCATTAACACTGAGGAATGGCCGCAGCTAGGAATAAGGTTCAATGGGGGTCACTGCAATCGTCCTGCGTCCCCTCACCCATCATTCTCTTATGTTGTTCCTTCACTCTGTTGTGAAAATGGATTTCATAATTTGCGTTCCTGCTCCTCCTTCGCTTCTCATATGATCCACCTTTCTCTTCTCTTATTCCATCACTTATCTGGAGATGTAACATGGAAATATAGTGATCTGTTCATCAATTTCATATTAGTTTTCTTTTTCTCTTTTCTAGCTTCTTGTGCAGCCAAAGTCGGCCATTCCTGGTTATTATCTGATTATGTCCAAAATACATTCACACTGACTAATATTATACAAGGTTTCTTTGCTGTGGTCACCCAAGTGTGACCCTTTCATGAAATTGGTCATTTGTTTTGAATAGATGTCTGTGAGCATTTGGAGTGTTTTAGCGCCAGCCCCTGCTGGTCAGCTATGAGACTGCATATCTAAAGTTAATCCACTGAGGGGAAAGTTCAGTTTTTATGCATTACACAAGTCCTGACAACCTGTATTTAAAAAAAAACCTGAGAGAGAAGATTTACCATCTCATTAGAGCCATTTGACTCCTGTTTGCATCTCTTCCCTGTCTCAGACTGGGTCTGGACCCCAAGCTGCTGTCAAAGGTCCTCAACATGTCGTCAGGTCGCTGCTGGTCCAGTGATACATACAACCCAGTCCCTGGAGTCATGGACGGAGTCCCGTCCGCCAACAACTACCAGGGAGGGTTTGGAACAACACTGATGGCAAAGGTATGAGAAAATACAGGGTTGTCTGCGTATGTTTTGACAATAGATGTAGTATTACAACTTGGTAAAAACAGATGAGCAGGAATTTCAGCCATGATTCTTTCCTGTCCTGTTCTTTTAACTGTGTCATTTTCTTTGTTTCACCTCATCCTCACTGTTCCTTTGTCACACCGTGGTTCTTTATTTGTCCATCTGTCTGACTCATCGGCTGCTGCTCGACCTCACTGTCCCAGCAGAGGCTCTTCACACTTCAGACTTCATGTTATAAACATGGCTACTGTCCTGACATGTGACGTGTCGTCTGAAATTTGCAACCTGTCATTCGAAGTACACTGTTGTTGACAGCTGGTTTCTGTTTGTCATTCACCATAATCATTTCTGGTTTTTGCATATGCCTGGGAGAAACAGACAAATGTCAGTGGCTGGCTTTAAAGCTTAGGAATTTTACAGTAAAATTTACATCATTAAATGAATTGAAACTCAACAAGATGAACAACAGAACTAAAAAAGAAACGATTCAACCCCTTGATCGTGGCCATGGATAAAACATTTCTTCCTGTGTTTGTGATGTCACTGACCGAGGTTTGCTAAAGATTTAAAACAAACCAGCTCCGTCACAGTAGACCCCCTGTCATACATGGTGTAGGAGAGAGGGGGCAGTTGCATCATTACTACCATCTACCATCTAACTGACACTCTACCCCTCTGCCTCTGTGTTAATAGGATCTCGGTTTGGCTCAAAACACGGCCAGCGACACCAAGACTGCAGTCCCTCTGGGTTCCCTCGCCCACCAGATCTACCGAGTCATGTGCTCGCGTGGTTATGCTAACAAGGATTTCTCATCCGTCTTCCAATTCCTGCGCGAGGAGGAAGGACAGTGATCGGAGTGGGAGAGCTGACTGTGATTTTTTTTTTTTTTTTTTGCATACACACACACACAGACCACAATCACACACCCCAGTGCCCCTTATCCCACTATGCTCAGGAGAGACTCAGGCCTCACCCTCAGGCACTGATTTGTAGTCCAATTAACACACTGTATGTTGACATGCGTCTCCTCGTTGCATTAGCTGAATCATACCCAGAATTCATAGCACACCCTCAGACTGAGGAAATGCTAAAACTGACCTTATATAAGTGTCTGGAGACGGCAGCAGCAGGACTGACTGAGACCATGAGGGAAATGGAAAGGTACGGAAAGAACAACGCAGATGTGCGTTAGATTCCAGGATGATTGATAAATATTAACAACACGAGTCTGATGCTGGGAGGTTTGTGGTTTTTGGCCCTGTAGTGTTGACCCACCAAAATCCCACATTCACGTGACTACATCTGAAACGCACGTCTTAATGACATAAAAACTCAAGTTTACTTCTTCGTAATCCTCCTGTCTTTTCCAGGAAGGTCTTTGTTTTACACAGTTACAGTGTTCTTTTCCCAGTATGTTCTTTGTTACAAGTTCTCACTGTGTGTAGCTGCACCAGGAGATAATAAATATCAGGTTATTTTTGTACTGCGTTGATCCCAGGGTGATGGGATGCTGGGCTGTTCTGATACGGTGACAGGACTTCTTAAAACTTACCTCTCTACGCTGTGTTCTGCCTCTGCTTATAAAGCCACTGGAGTACAGTATTACTGCGTGACCAGCACTGTGGCTCGTGTTACACCGTCGACTGCACGTTCCAACGCTCGTTTCATTTCTTATTTCGACGAGTTAGGGTGAGTGAGGGACGGCTCCCTCCCGCCGTGAGCCAGTGTACATATTGTATATTTAATGTGTATTTTTGAAAATGAAAGCCAACTTTTTTTTAGAGAAAAGTCATTTATTGTTTCTACGTTCTGCGACGATAGTTCTGTGATGCAGACCCTCAGTGACATACAGTTCAAAATAAAAGATGTTCTGTGTAGACCCCCGTCTGGGTGTGATTTCAAATCTCTAATCAGCAAAGAGGCTAAATGAAACCTCCTCCTACTCTGGGTAAGTGTTCTTTATGGTTATATGTTGTTGAAGAATCTTCTTGGTTCTCACCTGTAATTCTTTGTCTTTCAGGTGAACGTGATGAGCCGACGAGAAAGAACAAAGTGATGCTGAGCAGTGAGTAAATCAATGTCTGGTTATGTAACGAGAAAGATGATGGAACCTGGTTTTTCACCTCTGGTACGGAGGTCAGATATCTAGGAGATCTAGTCAGTGTGAGCAGAACACACATATACAGGTATATTCCATATTGCATTTTTTATCTGGTACATGAAACCTAAAAAGTACAGGGCCGTCAGGGCTAGTCCATGATCAACCCTTTCCTTCTGTTGTTGTTCCATTGTTTCTAAAAAAAACACCCTCCTCAGCAGGCACTCGTAACGTTGAGCGTCAGCGGGGGGAGAAATAGCAGCACTAATCTGAAAATGATGCCCTTATTTCCATCATTACAGTGAAATGACGGGGGGGCGGGAAACAAATGTGGTTATGTTTTATTTTACTCGTTTTCTTTCCCGAGGGCTGCCGTTTCTTTGTGACGTTTTATGGAGCTGCTGTCGTCTAAGTGGCAGCCGCAGCCGTAGCAGACTGTGGCGAACCACCGGTGGCAGCAATTGTGTCGCGGGTTTGTGATTCACTCTGCCGTTGTTGTCGACGAGGTTATGGTGCACTTGCCTCGTTTGAAGGTATCTGTACATGGAAGAAGAGAGGAAGGGGGCGCTCCACGTCTCGTCAATGATCTCGTTAGCATGACCCTGTCGGTATGTGCTGTAAGAAGCTTTAGGCTCAGCATCTTTTAATCTGACAATACACTGTGGATCCTCTCCTTGACTGACGCCTCGGCCCCAGCCAGCTGAATTAGGCTACGTAGCAGATTCATATTTGAGTGTTTTAATTTGCCTGTGTTTTATTGCAGGCTGTTGAGCCGGCGGTTTCCTCATTAAAGGACACATGAAAGCAGCCTGTAAAGGAGCCGTGGTGAGACCGGCCTGCGCTGACGTCTGAGGGGGACGCGAGCGACCGAGGAAGCGACTGAGTCCAATGCCAGCCGGTCTGAACCGGAGGGCCTCACCCTCTCAATCAGGCAGCCAGTGGTGGGACAACAGACGCACCACAGTGACCATGTCCATACCAGCATACCAGCACGGCATTCTGATGTGTCAGCAGAAGTTCACTGTCTGGTGCTGGAAGACTGTTTGTCAAGTATCAAACACAAAGAAAGAAATTAGCCAGTGATAGCAAAGAATGTGTCAAAAGCTAATCTGAATTCAGCACGAGTTAAGAATTGGCAGAAATATTGGTCATCTGTGAATATTTACAGATTATTCCCCTTTTAGATTATTACAGTACAAAGATAAATTCAATGTTTGAGCCAGTTAGCTTAAAGTTAGCAAAAATTTCTAAAGGTTAGCCCACCTATAAACCAACTATACTCAGAGAAAGCTCTCAGTTATCAACAATAGCTACAACTACACTCATATATATCGCTAATGTAAGTCAGAATATCTAACATTTCTATCAGATATCTTGCTAAATGTAGCTAAAAGTTAGCCAGAATAGCTAAAAGAGAGCCTAGGAATGCCTTTAAATATTCTGAAGTTAGCCAATTGATAGTTTCCCCTACATGTGAGCCAGCATCTTGTTGAAGCCTGTGTCATTAAGGAACAAACTGCCCCTGTGGAACAGTGAATTCTCTCAGCCTGGTGTACACACACGTTGGTATCAGTCTTCTTCCAGCTGCTGCGTTCTTTGTCTTTGAAGTTAATTGCCCACCTGGTTAAATCCCCCTCTCTCTGCCATTTAGAGAGTAAAACGGCCTCGGCTCTGCCACTTGTGCTGTGATAAATACCTGAGGCAACAGCGTTCATTATTTCTCCATTATAACTGCTGGTGGATCCTCTCGCCTCTTTAACGACGCGCTCTTTAAGGAAGTGAGAGCAGTGGGGTCATACTGCAGGAGGGCTGGGGGGGGGGGCAGAGGGTCCTCCACACTGCCCCGTGATTCATATCAAACACATGTTAAGTGGCATGTGGCTAAATTAGCGGCTGGAACAGCAGGTATAATAGCTGGCTCTGCGGTGCGTAACGAACCCCTGTCTTAACGGCGCACTAATGTAGCCTTGATTTCTTTTACAGGAACCCACCAATAACAGTCGGGCTGTTTAGGCCGGCATCCACACCCACTGTGTCTGCACCACCGCCCACACAAGGCCTCTTCCTGTTTTTTAGACTGCATTCTCCCATCCTGAGTCATTGACTCCGCTTAGGTTCATTAGTGATAATAATTTCACTGCAGACAGCGGGTCAGCTCAGTCCATGTCACACTGACAGGGAGCCACAGAGGAGCAGCTAATTATCACAGTGGAGTCCTCATTAGAATATCTGCCGCGGTGTAATGAGTTGTTGTCAAACATGGACTCCATATTGGGTTGAGAGGTTGCATTTTTTTAAAGGGACTCGATAAATCTTACATTCTGTTTGGTTTCTTCTGTCCACGTACAGTGAGACCAAGGTGATCGTCCATTTAGTCCAGTTGTGTCTAGGCTCACGTTACTGCAGTGGTAAAAGCTCTTAGAGGCTGCAAGTATATTTTTAGAATTTTGAAACTTTTGGTTGTTTCAAAAATTTCAATTTAATTTTGCACATTTAATAAATTAAAAAAAACTCCACAATTGGTGAAATATTTGAAAATCTTAGTATTAATTGTGAAATGTAAAACACAATATGGATACAATATAGTGTATATACTGTAGTTGGGGGTTGAAAATCCTTGACGCCTGCTTTAAAAGATTCATTGTTTTTTCAGGTTGTGGGTCACATGAATCCTTTATTGGACCAAATCCAGCCCCCAGGCCTTACCTTTGACATCAGTGTTTTAATCACTTTTGACCCTGATTTCTAACAGTGCCAACATTGTGTACATTCCCTCCGTATTTCCTGGTTTTTGTTCCTGCTCTGGTTCTTCTTCTCGAAACTCCTCTCCTTCTGTTGTGATGTTTGTGCCCCCCACACGCCCAGTGTCAGCCGTGACGAACAACAACAGCCGTACTGTATTCATCACGTGCTGCTGCACATGCTCAGTAGCTCCTTATTATATTAATTACTCTCATTGGAAGAGTGATCATCAGCACCGTCAGTATCTATCACTGCCCGCTCCCCACCGAGGCTCAGGCCCAGTAAATAATCACCGGGATCTGTAACAGGCCTCTGGCCCCGCCGTTCCCTTCAGACCCACCAGGGTGGGCCCTAAATACTCCAGGGGGCCGAGGTGCGGCTGAAACATATTTATCTCTGCCAGCAGAGTGTAGGTGTACGGCCTCATCCAGACGCGGCTGCTGCTGCGGCTGCTGGTCCTGGTTCAGTAGCAGTGAAACCGAAACATATTTTCTTCTTCAACAGCTCATGGGAAAAGTGTATAAAAATCAGTGCATTAAGCTATGTCAAGTAAATAGATTACAATAGAAATAGAAACCGTTCCCTCCCACCCAGCCTGCTGCGTGTGATTCATCACATGGTCTCGTGAAGCTCAAACACACAGTTCCTACATCCGCTGACCCTCGTTTCACTCCGACTTTTTTAAGAATCAGTCAGAATCGGAAACATAGAGACGTTATTCTGATTCAATTCAGATCCTTCGTTAGGAAGTACTTTTAGGAGTACTTTTATGTGAGGTAACAAAAGGCCCTCGTTGGCTGGAGCTCTAAACCCTGAGTCAGCAGCCAACCAAAACTGTGTAAATGTAAATGATTGTGGAAGTGTACAGTGTTTTACAACATCATGAAATAAAAAAAAAAAAG